TTGTTGCTGCCGACGTTGATGATGCTAGTCATAATCGTTGTCATCATGATGACGATAATGATGCTGCTGGGAATGATGACGATGATGACGACGATGACGATGATGATGGAAACTGTCATGAGAGAAGGGCTGATGGCATTGGATGATTCAACCCCGTTATCTTGTGAGATAGATCGTCAGATCATCAGCATGTGAGTCTGATGCAGCGATAAGGCTCTATGAAGAACAATCAAAACCTTTCCTGCTAGGCCAGATATAACCTGACGATGATTTTGCTACGTGTGTCACTTGTATCCCGGCGAGACCAACGACATGTACATCTCATGTAATCTCACAAAACTGGGAAGTATAAGTATACGTTTCAAGCTGAGATGACCGTAGCCGTCAACAGTCTGGATGCACGCCCAAACGACTCTCTTCAAATTAGTTTGTGAGTAGTCGAGCCTGACATCTTGTCTTGATATAGCACGGTGTTAGTGACTTCAATCTGAACATTTAGCGGTTCTACTTCCTTGTGAGCTCTCGATATCACCTAAATCACTGGGAGATTCCTCTATGATCCAGAGGAGCCACTCCGGTAGTGGCTCACAAACCCTAAGAAAACTTCGAAAATTTTGTAGTGGACCGGGCAAGCACCTCCTTCGCTATTTGATCGTCCAAATGGGATTGAGGGTGAAACAAGACTCGGAGCTCAATCTGCCAGAGGGCGCGGTGCGATTGCCGTTAAGAAGAAACAGAGTGCCTAGGCGGTATAGGTCACTCCGGCGTGGGCGTAGGCAGCGAGTTGTCCTGATGAGACGGAGCAGTCCTGCATTCGCCGTTTCCAGGTTATATGATGGTCGTAGATGTGGAAGATCCACAGATCCTTTGCGATGCAGAGGAAAACATACCGTCAAAGTGGAGAATCTGGTTTATGGAAAGAGTCCAGATAGGATGGGTGGAGGACAAATCCTAGATATCTGAAAGCTCCTAGATCCATGAAGCTTCTGATCCTGATCTTGAACCAACACCTTGGCAGTATAGTAGTGAAGTTCCAGGATGTGAAATTCGGCCAAGATAATCTGGCTGTGTGCGCAACATGGAAGCGAGGCAAAGTGATGTACTTAAGAAAGATCTTCGCTTTGCCTTGTTCAGCTTACAGGCCACACCTTGTCGCATACAGGGTTACAGTACTGGATGATGCATGCAGGCTTGATGGTAGGAGCCATATATGTTGTATATACCAGGTGATATATATGTCCGTACGTTTCTCCAGACACCTGCCGTTCAAGATCACATTAGATGGTCCAAAGTCATCGACGAAGAGTAGCAGAAGCATGGAATTTTCACATTGATGTGATACAGAACGCTTGATACCCTAGATATCCATAAGGAGGGTCTGTTCCAGCATGTGCCAATTCATTGACAGTACGATGTTCCGTACATCACTTCTCGTTTGCAAAAATATGTTTTCCACCGCGGTGCAGTCTACACACTGACCCGGATACTCTAACATCTCGCGACCCAAATTTCCAGGTGAGGTTGACGATACGGCAACAATCCAACCAAAAACAAGAAAGACTCAATAAAGCCTCGGAGAGACACTTCGGTGCTTGTCTCTTACGAAAGAATCGATTCTGTCGGCAAGCCTATAGCCAGATAGGACCCGCCGTTGTTCGACAAATATGCGATCACCAGCTTCGTTCCCTGTGACGGGATAATATGCTGAGACGGAGTGATTAGCTTCTGTGAAGTTTGTGCTGCTGTCAGTTCCACATCTCATTGTGCCTTATAAGCTTGACCATGAAGCATCGTTGAGACGTCCGTACCCTGAACTGCCTCACCTGCCTATAGGCGTGATGGTGACCACAGCTCTGACTTGCTTAGAGAGCATCTGCAATGCCTGCAGTGAATTGTACGAACTTTCCTGCTTAGAAGATCTCAATGCGCGTGATCAAGCGGATCTGAGATCAAGTATAGAGCTAATAGGTCCCATCGGTAAACGGCCGTCTGTGAAGAATGGCCCACTTGTGCTTGGTCTAACAATGCTACTGTGTGAGATGTTGCGAGACATGAGACAGGGTACGGCAGCATGTTGCACAACCTTTCACTATGAGACTGACACAATCCATGCAGATTGGTTCCAGTGGAGAGACCGCACGGATGCAGAGATACAGAATGAAAGGTCGCAGCCGTCAACGATCGACGAGATAGGGGAGTTCTGTAAGAACATCCTTGACTTGTCGAATGATACGACCTCACCTTACCATCCATTCGACGAGCAGCAGCATCTCAACAAGTCAGATGAGTGATTCATTTACCTCAATCGGCCCTCCTTCTAAGTAATTCGATGGTCACTAGGCTGAGTGCAGCAAACAGATGGAAGACAGACTTGTGGTAAAGATAGTTTGGTGTTGACTGATGATATACTCCATACGAGCATGTACGAGATCCATATTGTCCATGTTCAAGTGTTGTGTTCAGCCCATAAAGACCAAAAGTAAACATCGACTGAGTCCTACACCATAGAAATCAATCCATTTGTGAAGCCTAGTGTCTCGATCGAAGGCTCTGGGCTCCTGATAGAGCTTGATTGTATCTCCTAGTATTCCAACGCTGTTCCCATACCCAATATTGATCGGTCGTTGAGATTGGAGGTAGAAGATATCCTGATTTACTTTCTGGTCACAGCAATCACTCGAGCGAATGTCTTCTCACACTTGGTGTTCCGCGTTGAGAGGGAAGATAGACTCTAGTCAATAAAGATTGACCTGGACCCTCAATCTACACGGAACAGCCACAAGTCAAAGAGATTAGATAGCGTTCGGAACACTATACATCTATATCTCTAGGGCCACATACTGGGGCATAATATGACTACGCTCTAAAGTTGGACGACTGTTAGCAAACGACGAGAAGACCTGTGCATGTATGGTCTAAACGAGAGCACCGTTTTGCTTATCGGGCATGATACAGAGTCGTACTGGAGCCTTATAGCAGAGCCTAAAGCGAAACAAATATTGATTCCCGCAACAGACAATGATTCAGAGCTATGTTTCAGGACAGTAAGGTGGACGGGAAAGTTTGGGAAAGCCGCCAGGAATCGATGCGACCGTATACGCTCTCTAGATTCGCAAGGGACTGGAGGAAATGAGCGAGTAGCAAGCTATGGAGTGGCTTTAGAATACCCTGACCTATGTTCGCGGTCAAGGCGCACTTACACAAGTTCCTGACAGCGCGATAGTCTCACTTAGATCCTACAAACTCACCCGTTGTTGACGGGGCATGTCAAGATAGTGCTGGCTGACAGTTTCTTTTTCTTTCGGAGAGAATAAAGCTGTGCAAAAATAAGAGAACTCGACACGGTGGCACCATGGCAGAAGCAGTCGAATAGTCCCGATAGATGTGGCACAACTTCCAAGACTTTTCTGATAACATGATCAGAGCTCCCGGCCCGTCACTTGCTATGCGTCATCAAACCGTTGTATGGCCTGGCTCTTGACCTGCATAAACTTCTCCTTGCCCATACTCTGCTCGACCTCGAAAAGGGGTCTAGGAAAGCTGCTAAGAAAACAAGCGAGATGTTCGCTTATACTTCGATCTGAGGATTCGATCGTTCCTTTCTCAATGCGTTCGCATAAAATGATATTCTAGGACACGATAGCGTTGGTCAGGAACAGATTGACTCTTAATAACGACGGCTGAAGACATAGTTACGTATATGATCAGAACCTCATCACGATTTTCTAGCGCTTCGCGGACTTGTGAGATCATGTCGCGGTCCTGTTCAGTCTCCACCTGGCGTGTATCTCCACATATATATCGATCGAGTGACGGCTTCCACGAAGATACTGCGAAAATGTCCCTGGGTCTGTTGGGACGAAGCATTGCCAAGGTATGTGTGGTTCTCTTGTTAGTGGGTGGAACTGAGACTTTGATACTTGTATGTGCAAATTCGCCGGTATAGATCTTCACATACTAGGTCCTCAGACAAAGACGGTAATGCCTTGTGAAATGTTGTCACATCATGATCATGAAGTGTAATGTCAGCATCGTCACAAGACGCTTTGTAGCAAGGTTCCAAACTCCGCGAGAATCACGCCAAGTCATACTTTACTTCGCTCATATACCGAGTCACATCGTAATTTATTATAATTGATTCACTGTAATCAATCACCGACATCTCAGCAGACAGCACATTCAGCGCTCTTGATTGCACCTTCTTGGACAAAGATCCAGATAGATCGACGAACCAGACATCTACATCGGAGATGCTCCACTTTGCGTGTGATGTTGTGACTCTTGTTCAGGAGATAGAACCGTTGCCCTGGCGACCCTGACAGATATGCTACCTATCGCAGTTCGCTATCATGAGCTCTTACTACTTGTCATGTCGCCCCCATTCCATCCTTCAAAAGTCGCTTCATATGTCGAAATGGTTGCTCGACGGCCTAGAACCACCCTTGAGGAAAGATCGATGTATGAGCATCGGTGGGACAATGCTCCCATATATCGACCACCACGGTCTTGACTTAGCACGAAGCTCAAACTGAAGTCCATCAGATCTCTGTTTTGCATAGCATATAGCACTTGTTTTGAGCTCCTGAATTTTTCTCGGATCCTTCAATGCCCTACCGTGATGTCTGGTCCTGCCCGTCTAAGGAGCAGTTGGTATTAGTGGCTACTGTAGCAAAACAAGCATGGACTAATAACAGGTTATTAATGTGCGGCTAAACCGTCAGTAGCCACTCCATTCAATCATACGACGTGATTGGCATGGATCATAGTATGTTTGGACACAAATGTAGACTGGCATGTATGCATGATGGCGAGACAACATAGTCTGGACAACATCTGTAGGACCATACGACCGCAGGTTATCGCACAAGGCGGGTAAAGTCTGGCTGAAGTATTCGCCCTGTATCGGAAACACTGGCTTGGCTTATCTTGGGATATTCTTGGTAATAATACGACCAGCAGGCGTAAGGAAAAAAACGTCTGTCGCCAGGACACTCTACAGATTAAAACAACGACCATGTATTGAGAGACTCTTTCGTGAGCGCCTTGAGAGCGACAAGCGATACCACAATTCTGAATCATCAAGTCCACGTGTAATCGAAAACGTGGGATACCACTGTATCAAGGTCCAAGCATAAGCCGGATTGTATGGTACAGCAAAAGCTTAGTGTTACGAATCACCGGGGGAATCGAGCTGGAGATGACTAATTATGATCTTTCACAGCATGAAAGATCCTTGTAAAGTTATCAATGCGCGCATCCAGGCACTGAGAATGCATACAACCAAGAGTCTTTACACCACAACAGCGTACAGATTGACCGACTTTATCTCACTTGGGCGGCGCAAGAGCCGCCGATCGCTNTTATATGGAATCTCCCTTGGATTTCCAGCTATGGCGTGAACATTTGGGACCACTATCAGGTTTCGCCATGTGATGGGACTACCAACACATCTGGATATCTGCCGTACCAGGGTGTTGCTTGCCAACCTAATTNNTTCGTGGTTTCACTTCTTAATCAGGTACCGTAGAAGGGTACCAACATGCAGCAGCTGAAGGCTGGACCAAATCCATGCCTCTGTACAGTATCGCTGCCTGACCTCAACACCAAGGATCGGATATCGAGCTGGTCCATGAATAGGAGGCCATACATCTATCCACTTGCCGTCGGACGTTCCCCAACAGGATGTTGATTGTACTGTGTAACTACAATCATATATTTTCGTCTGGAGAGCAGACATGGATGACCTAGATAGTTTTGTGACCATACAGATACAGACGTTGGTCATCTCACTTTCTGGAGTGCTACACATCATTATCGCACCATTCCTCAGTGAGCTCCGCGAAGTATCATGGTGATGAGTGGCTATCCATGTCGAAAATCAAAGCTCGACTTATGTCTTTGTACTACAAAATAATCGGTGGATTCGACATACAATTTGCATCTATGATGGCTGTTGATGAAAGATGTGATTCGACCTTACAACCGTGTTTCGGAAGATAGCTGTTGTGTCGAGTTTCATATAACCATACTCGTCCTAGCAACTTCGACATACTAACAACTTTGCAATGAACTGAAAAGGCACTGGACATTTCGATGGACGAACCATGCCAAGGATGTAATGCTAGATATTGGAGACGTGTTACATAGTAGCTCTGCATGATATCATTGATGTCAATAATTGGACGTCTATGGTGTTTTTCCTCAAGATCGGGAACAGTGTTTGCATATCGAGATGCGTGGTGAAGGTCGCTACCTGATCAATCCCCAGCACGTTCGAGCCATGCGGATCAGGACTTCCGGTCACCCCTCCTCACTCGTAGACGAATTCTCTGAGGTGAGTTCAGAAGATGTCTCTTGTAGAGCGTTCAGACCAACAACGGTCGCAACGTACTATCGAAGGCATATCCCATCAGATTGTTTGGACAGATTATCGCATTTTGGAAGATATACACAACCTGTTGTACTGTTGCCTGGTGTGGATTGAGAGTGAAGTCCGATGGACGAAATCCAGACCAAGTGGTGAGACCTGTCCCAGTCCCGCCGTAAGGAACGGTGGAATCTATGCACGGCATGTAATCCATGTTCACTGTGGGAAGGCTCAAATCTCTTGGGCAATAAGAGCCGAGCCCCGCACTATCCTCCAAAGTATCGAGGTTACTTTCTTGCACAGCACCCTCAGGCTTCAGTGCACCATGAGGTGTATCTGCTCCTGTTTTCGATACTGACAATGCGTCTTGCGATGGTAAGTCTCGTGATGCCTGATCTTCGTAATCAGCGACTACATCGTCTTGGGCGCTTGGGTCAACCTGGAGCTGATCGAGTGAGATTGCGGTCTTAGGATCATCAGCGACATCTTCGGTCGAGCGAAAGAAGCCTCCCTCGTCTGTTTCCCAATGGGCGAAGAGATCAGAACCGGGTTGGCTCGAAACCTGCGGGAATAATGGTGACAGATCACAAGAACTGAACAGATCTGAGGCAAATAGCTCCTGGCTCACGTGCTTAAGCCCACTGGGTATCTCCGAGGGTTGTGCCCCGGATCCGGAGTTCGAGATCTCCCTCTACTGGTTGTCGGTGGTACTGGATCTGTCGACTGACGAGGAGCCTCTGAGTTGGTACGCTCCCGAGAGATCTGTTCGAGACGTCGGAGATGATCAAACCGTTCTTTAGTTTGTTTGACTTCGAGTTCGAGTCGCTCTTTAGTTTCTTTGGACTCTTTGACTTCGAGCTCGAGGCGCTCTTTGAGTCTCTTTTGTCGCTCCCGATATTTAGCCTGGGCCGCGCGGTTCCTCTCCTTCCTTTCGATATTGCTTACCATCGCGCCCCGAATGAATGAGTATGATTGATCTGAACCTCACAAGTCTGGGCAACAAAGCTGATGACGGGTCCAGACAAGGTTTGAACATCCAATCTTATGTATCTTTGGGGTCTCCAACCATCACCATGCTCACTTCTAAGCAATATGACACATCCTCTTCGTTTTGGTGCCCGTGTAAGGGATAAAAATAGCAATCTTCGCCTCGAATTAGGCCATGTTTCAAGATCAAAGTATATTCATAGCCAGCTTGTGAGGAGAGAGCACATCTGAGAGGCTGCGCACACTTCAATTAGCAAAGCGCTGAGTCTGGTGAAACAAGATGGCCAACGGCTAGTTACGGTGGGTCTTGGTTGACGGTCTGACATCTCTGCAAGCTGCGAAATGCGTGATAGACAATGAGTTTCGCATAGTTTCTGTGATGATCATATCAACGTACGTGTATGATCTGCATGGTAGTTCATCTAACTGACAAGAGCGTTCGGCTAGTCTTACAATGCTCTAAGCCTGGATTGCAACTTGCCTGCGCCAAAGTGTCAGGTCTTTCACGGAACCGCCTTCGGCAATTGAAATGTTGGCTGCGACAGATGAGATCGTCCCCGGTAGAGAGTCATGACACACAGGGATCAATGGTTTAACACTTGTGTAAGAGATAAATCTTGTGCAGAAACCAGTTTCAGGGCATCTATTTCACGTCGGCGACAGAAACACAATTAGAAAGCAGCTCATGAAATTCAATCAAGAACGTATCGAAACATTTAGTTGGAGATTTGAATAGAAAAGGTCGGTGCGCTATGTTCGTGCATGCAAGACTGATCACGAGGGCACCATGAACGAAAGCAGACATACACTCTTTTCTTGTGACGGAATTAATGACGGCCACCTTGACTTTTCGAACTAGTATTGTAGCTCATCCCTAGCTGGAGCAGAAGTCCTCGCTCGATGTGGGGTGGCATATGGTGACTTTGTGGACTTGACTGCTCACCCATCACGATATGAAGACCAGTAGCCTTGAGTGTACCTTGTGGACTGGCGTCTCGTTCAGACCTCCTTTGCGACGATAAGATCTCTCAGTCATCAAATGTCCAGTCAACCTCGTCGTTGGCCATCATGAGCTTCTACACATTTTTCCTGACATAATCACGGAAGAGACCGGATGTAGCTATGACCAGGTCAAGCGCAGATGCTGGACTCAGTGAGAGCGATTCGGTCGAATTAGATATCCCACGGCATGTGTCTGCGTGGAGATGGCTTCCTTTGTCTCCGCGATGGTCTGAAGCAGCGTAAGGTGAGAGCTCGGGATAAGCAGTTTCCAGGAAGCCGGGACTAAACGAATGATGACGCTTGGTGATCAACAGGTCTCTTGCAGGCTTTGAAGATACCATGGTGGCAGAGCTATACATGGAAACCAAGATGTGCACCAGTCCTCAGTAAGTATCTACGAGGCAGAACTGCGGTGGGCAAAGAGAGATCCCTCTAGCAAGGGGCCGGTCTTGACCATTGATATATCTCGCACTTGCTTTCTTCTTACTGAACGCAGCATTGTTGCCAAATTTCTCTGACAAATCGGCGCGTCATGATATCGTCCAATGTGCCGAATTCTTTACAGCCAATCGGAAGTCGACCAACATCTGTCATTCGATGTAATAAACAAGCATTGTTTTCGCTGTCGGTACGGAATTCTACGACTTGACGCGATGACGAACCTATACGCTACAAGCTTCGAGCCTCGCACTGTATCCAGAACCGACACGATGAGATTGGAGAACCCGATATAGAATGATGCCAGAACGCCACCTTTGCTTCTGAGCTTCAGTGAAGCGTGAAACCGAGTTATTGGATTGAAAATTACGTTTTGAGAATGCTTGGCTTGCGTGCACTGGCGCAAGTTTTAGCAAGCCGGAATTATCGTCCCCTAGCACTAATGTCCCTCTCGAGGAATAAGATCGACTCTCCTCACTTGCTTCTTAATGCTCTCAATTCTTTGGACCGAAGTGTTCCCCGAGTGAGCCTTACAATCCTTATCAACACTGTGATTTGATGAATGCATTCGCAACGTCGAAGTGTGGAAGTCGAAGAGTCGCCTGACGAGCCAAAGTGCGCAGTCCATTTGCTTTCTCCAGACCAGTATTCACAGACAAACGGTAAAACACACCTGCGCCTGTAAAGAATCTGGTCGTAGGGATGCTCATACTGACGTTAATTCACAGTAAATAACGTCAGTAATTAGGTAAGCGTCATTGACGTGTCAATAACTGTAACTTATCTCTCCGCAGTGGCAAACATCGTCAATTTCAACCTCTCTCTATAGCTCTACGCTGCTATAGCATCAATGCCACCACCAAAGTCGTTCGCCGCTCGCCAGTTCAGCGATTCAGTAACCGAGGACCTCAAGCCATGCTCGCGCTGTAGCTGGTGCGTCAACTATACGATAATCAGCCAGTCTATCAAGCGTAAATCGGCCCATTTGGCCAGCTGTATACGCTTCCGCCAGCATGCCGTCGAGGTACTCCGAGGAACCGATTCCAGCGCTATAATCGACCTCCGTATGGCCATGCCAGAGGACTTTATTCAAGCATGTCGCGAGCTAGCAGACGTAGGTGAGGAAGAGGAGGAGGTTAAGGAGGGCGATGCGCATGGCTATGCTCAGCCAATTGATAGAGCCTCTCGCATGGAGCTCAAGTTCGCAAAGGCCATTTACCGCTCTGGCATGCCGCTGAGCTCGTTTGACACCGACTGCTGGAGGGAGTTCTTCAGAGAGCTCGCTCAATTCAAGCCTCCGCCGCGAGCTCGCCTTGCTGGTAGCCTACTCGAGGCTGTATACGCAGAGGTGCAGAAGGAGGTGGAACAAGTGGTAGAGACTCAAGGCCGTGGTAACTATACGCTGAACTGCATTAGCGATGAGTCTGAGGCCATGAACGAGGACCGGATTACCAACCTCTCGCTTAATACAGCTAACGGCCAGTCGTTCCATATAACGACTACTGCCACTGGCTCCGCTGACCATAGCGCAAGGGCCCTCTTTGATGGCATGTTACCTCGTATCAAGAAGGTTACCAAGGGTGATTTGACCCGCTGGAACAGCCTTTGTACGGATACTTGCGCTACGCAGAGGAAGCTACATGAGTTGATCCATCAGCATCCTGAAACTCGGCATGTTTTTACCATACTCTGCGACTCGCATGGCCTCCAGCTGCTAGTCAAGGTCCTCTGCCATGGCTCGAAGTCGCTTAGTGCCATTACGTACTACAAGGTTACTCTTGTAGAGGCGAATTTGATGTCGAGTTTCCTGCGTTCGGCGACGAAGCTCTACGCTCTGCTTGTAGAGCGCGCAGCTGAGGATGACAAGAAGCTCAGAGCCCTCGTGCTGGCGGTAGTTACTCGATGGGGTACTCAAGTCAACGTCGTTGATGCGCTAATTGAGAACAAGGCTCAGCTACAGTCAGTCACCGGTCAGCGAGCCTTCTTCAACAGCGAGAGTGGCCGGAAGGTACTTAGCTTGATTGACGACGAGAGTTTCTGGCTACGCCTTGAGCACCTCCATTCGCTGCTGCTGCCGATTCATAACGCGCAGATAGCCTCTGAGAGCGACCGCTCTACTGTCGCTATGGTGGTTCCTCGCTGGAAGGACCTTCGAAGCGACATCGCTGAGCTCGACATACCGTTCAAGGCAGAGGCTCTGCTACGGCTAGATCAGCGCCTTGAGAAGCAAACTACTGGTATACACTACGCAGCGTACGCTCTCAACTCGCAAGCGCCAGAGTCGTATAAGAGCCTTAGCAAGCGCGAGTGGCAGCTAGCTGAGAGGTTCTTCGAGGCTACAATTCCAAGTCACCTCCACAACGACTTCTTTGATCAACTTACCGAGTTCAGAGGCCGTAGAGGCCGCTTCAGCAGTACCTTCCTCCAGCAGAGAGCTCATAATCCAGACAGTTTTTGGGACTACGCGCAGCAATACGACGCTCAGCTACTTGCTCAACTGGCCTTGCGGCTACTCAGCACGCCAGCGAACTCAGTACCCTCTGAACGGTCGTTTTCAAGCTTCAATTTCATCCAGAACTCCTTCCGTACGTGCCTCTCAACCCACCGAATTGATCTATTGCTATACATCCACGTCAATTGTAGAGCTCTTGAGGCTCACAAGCGCGAGAGGCTCAAGCGACGGCGTGAAATCGCTCTCTCTGAGGGCCACGCTCGTAAGAAGTTGCGCCTCGAGCAGCTTGAGGCGCGTACTACGCCATCAACTCAAGCAATAGCTCCATGGAACATGACTACCAACGAGGCTATTGAGCGTCAATTCGCTCTATTAGCTCCTCTTGAGCTCTCTGCAGGCTATCTCAACGACGACGACGACGATGACGCTGCGCCGTACGAGCTCAGCTCGCAGAGCCTTCCAAGCGCTGGCTATAATATCTTGCTCTCCTCAACGCCACTACTACCCTCTATGTCGCCGTAGCTACCAAATGCTCTCTCTCAGTTGTCAACTCGAGGCGAGCCTCAGCTATACTCCTTCTCTCAGATGTCAACTCAACACTGCTCAGAGCCCTTCCGCAGCCAGTCAATAGCAGAGGTTCAGTGCTCAGTCGGTACCAACTCAAGCAGAGCCAAGGCTCTCAGCTCGAGCCATGGCTATATGGAGACCTCTCGTACACGCAGCAAAACGTTGACTTAGATGGTATTGAGAACCACCTGCAGTAGCGCATAATGAGCAAAAGGTGGTCCTGCACGGAGTTGGACCGTGGTCTTATATAATCCCTCAATACTCTCCAAAGTGCCGTTGGAGAGTATTGTGAGAACATGGTTTACACGCTTTAACACTAAGCCACAGGACCGATGATGATTATCTGCGAATTCAGCATAGTTTAAATGCCAGTATTGCAGTTTACAGCACCGATATAGAGCACCTAGTATTCTTCCTGCCTCTGATCAAACTTCTGGTGTGTTTTCATACAGATCTGAATCAGATATTGCCAAGCACACGGGAGGGGCATACTCGGCGCTAATTACTAGTGTTATTGACATACTGACAGTAAGGAACGTCAATTTGACACGTACATAACTGTCAGTTACATGGAAGGTAATTAACATCGTACATCCCTATCTGGTCGGCACTTGACATTTCAATTCTGCAACAATGAAGTCCCCGAACGGAAGTGGGCACTTCTGCCTGTCTGGTACTTTCAACGCGGTATCCCGCTTTCGGCAAGTCTGCATGGCGTCACGCGCGATCTCGCACGGGCACTCTAAAGACACTTGTGCTAATCCATGGCATAGCCCTGACATGTAATCTTCACTGTCAGTCCATCGTAGAAGCCAAGGACAGTGGATGTGGGTCTTTGTGGAGAAGCGACCGACAAGCGCAACGATAACAGTAGTCGACGGCACGCACACACGCGGAAGTGAAGCTCTGCCGTCCCGTGGGATCACGGAGACTTTGGCGGGGTCTGGACCCTTGTGATTGTTGGCGCGCAAACAATCGCAATCCCGACCACACGTGTAGGCCAACGCTAAGCGATGGTATTTAATAACACCAGACTTCGTCCTGGAATGATCATACCGCCAATGGGTGGTGTCGGAAATTGAACTTTTCTGGTCCGCCAGAGGCTTTGTCCCTCGGCTGTAATTCTGCGCAGTGGCCGCCCCATCTGTATCGATCTCCGTTCTTCGACGACTCAAAAGAGTAGGACCGTGATACTCTTACATGCGCCCTTATCACTTCTCTACGTACATGTCCGTGCTCTTCTGATTCTGAATCCGTATATTTACATCGCAAGATCAGCTCCTGTTTCGACACAAAATGCCGTGCTCTAAGCCAATCTAACAGCATGAACAAAAATCTGGACTTTCGAGTTGTCACTGTGTCGATAAAGCGGGCGCCAAGTTCCACAGGCACAACGACTAGAGAGCAACAAACATCATCGCAGCTTCCCAGCATCCAGCCTACTGGATCTCTCATCAGTTCAACATCGACGAATACTTTCCCGGCTAACGAGCCAAACAACGATCAGTCGACTTCCCAAGACGGGAAACAAAATCCCAACGAGACTCTCAGAGACATTCTCAGAAGGCTACAGCGAGAGCAACTCAATCAAGGACCAGCTGACGATAAATCTGGTGCAAAGAAGAGACCTCGGTCGAGTACCATGATTGTCAACAACCCGAAAAACAATCAGAGCGGTGTACTAAAAGGCCATGTTCCACGAAAAGGCCATGCTCTACGAAAAGGCCAGATTCGAACATAAGGGCCCTTTGTGTATTGGCTCACACTGATGTTCTACGGTCCCGGGCGTCCTTGAAGTGAGTCATTCCCAGCTTTCTAGCTGCTCCTTGTCAACTGACTGGTAATACAATTTCTACAGGATGATCGGCCCGAGCCAGGGTGAGAGTCGAAAAAGGCAAGACTTAGATTCGAATTGCGTGGAGGTAGGCCTAGCCTCGTATCCTGTAGTGGTAGCATTACATTGGACATATGTCATGGATGTCGAGGCGACTAATATCCGTTACTTACTTGAGGGACGAATCGACCCGAGTCTGTTGAAATTGGTTTAGTAATCCTTACTCAAGAACAAGAGAATAGGTTTCACCACAGAGTCACGAACATATTCCGTGAAGTCCATGAAAGAAGCTCTCCATAATATATGGCGTCAGCTGGATATCGTCTTTTAGTGTGCCACACGTTATTGTTCCTCGCGTTTACTGTCATTTTCGGACAACCTGATTAGTCGCCTCGCTAGAGTAACCAAGCTCTGCTTCAGAAATGTCAAGATCCTCGACTCCCACTGGAAAACAGATTTTTTCTCTCATCCGATCGGTAAGCTCAGTATCCACAATAAGAGACATCAGTTGTGAAAAGAACAAATGCTCGTCGTCGTGAAACGAGGGGTTGTGGTAAGTTCCCCCGAAAACGAGGTGAAATGGTCTCACGTGTATCTGGACTCAAGTGTCTATAGAATGGGGACGATCTGATCCGGGATCTCTGGTCGTCGGGATCCTCACGAATCACTTTCTCACCATTGGTGGGAAAGACTCATTCAGTGGCGGTAAGATGTATGTCCTGCATGATTGCATACATACCATACCGAGACTACGAGGTAAGATCTGTAGACTTGTGGTCGAAGATATCCATATGTTCCACCGACTGGATTACAGCAGGCATACCAAGACTGGGACGGTGAAATGAAAGCCCCTTGGGTCGAATTTGCAATGATGGCTGCACTCGGCAGATCCGGCCTTTCAAATCACATGCATGAGGCTCGTCTGCTCTCTCATGCTTCTATTTGAGAGAGTCGGCTTATAGAGGGCAGTCCTGGATAGACAGTAACATGCTATGTCAGAGTATAGGATGAACCTGCTCTCATCACCTGCGACGTATCAAATGCATGGACGCCCTAATCTGTAGCCTTAGCATCAGACGAGACAGATATACTCGTGCCCAAAAAGGATGATGATCTGGACTTTACTATTTGAGATGCCTTGCCATCGAAGAGAGCAAAAGGCCAGAGAAACCCGACCTTTCGACCGTGAAGACGACTGTGTTCGAACAGAACCTGAAGCAGATTCGACTGAGTGGAAACCGTTATATTACCTACGTTGCCAGGACCAGGTTACTGAGTTGGAGAGTCCCTACGCATAGCATGTACACACATACAACAACAAGCACATAGCAGTCGTTCAAATGGAGATGGAGAGGCCATGAGATCAACATCAGTAATCCTGAAGGACCTGCTGGTAGAATCACCTCTAGTCGTACCACCCGCATGACGGAAGGCAAACGGCCGCAACAAGATTGGAACAGACGTTGGCCTGCTGATCGTGGATAATCCACCAGCTTACCTATCAAGCTACCTTCCATTCAACCCGAAGCTGTCGTTGACGGAGCGGGCGACAAATTGATTGTGGTGATACCCACGAGACGATTTCTCGCAAAGCATTGTCGAATTGATGATTCGCGTGCGTTCTTCTTTTCGAAGGAGAAAACCAAGAATAGCGAAAAATACGCACTTTCAGAAAGTTTTGATCGTCTGAGCACGCCCGCGTAATTTATCGAGCCTATCATTAGCCACATATCCAAAGGCGATCCCTGTCGGATAGTTACTGATGGAATCTCTCGGCAATATTCCTAGACAAAACAGGTGTAAAGCTGATGGATTCTCAAGCGGAGAAGGAGTGTCGATTCCGTATCAGTATTGCTGTCATCTGAGGCGTCTCACGAGCTGGTCTAGTTACAAGGTGTTTCCAGACGGCGTGTCATTGTCTTTTCCTCGGGACAGCGGGAATATGGCCAAAGAGAATTTGCGGCAGATGTGCATTTGGGAGTTGCCACAAGGCCATTCTAGCGTAGTTCGAGGGCTGCGTTCTGACTTCAAGCTATATATAGGAGTCCTAGTTGTCCTACGCTTCCTCGCACCGTCCTTCTTGTCAGGCTTCAGAATCTAAGACCACTCGCACGACATGTTGCTAACTATAGTGGCCTCAGTATCCTGTCTCGTCTTGATCTACGGAGAGGAAAATCGTACGTGCACGTTCGATCCTCTAGCTTGAGTCTATGTTGACTAATTATCTGCTCAGGTTGGTCTCTTGTGCCGGTTCTTTTAGCTTCTATAGTCGTCCTAAGAGCATCCATGGCAATCACGACTCTGTGCGATAGGTACCTTCTGGATGAGGGTGCCACACATCCTCGGATCCCACTGGTAGTACTTCCTTTGTGTATGATCTGGGTCACAGCAACCGACTGGGCCTTTCTGACCGTACAGTTCTACGCACTCTGGCTTTTTGACGACATCCTTTCGTGGAGACGACTCAGACATCACCCAGGACCTTGGTTTGCCGGTATATCATCTCTGCCAACGCTGTGGCATATACGTAAGGGAGATTTCTACGACTGGCAGCAGCGCTCGCACAAGAAATATGGGGGTATAGCCCGTGAGTCATGTCTCATCGTCCCTGGCCGCCTTCTCTTACATGGGCGCAGGCATCGGTCCCAATCGACTGACGACATCCGACGGTGAATTTATCCACAAGTTGGACAGCAAAAAACGTGGAAGTCCGAGATCTGGATGGTACGGGGCTGCCATCAATCCTAGCCCGTTCCATGAACGCAATGTGACGACAATGACGGACGGTGAACATCATGAACAGTATAGAAAGAGATTAACAGCTGCTTACAATAGTTTCGACATGCTTAAGGCTTTGCATCACAGTGCCGAGGTTCATATCAAGGAGCCCATTGAAAAGCATATCGCTCAAGCAAGCAATGACATCACACGAATTCTTGATTTTGCGCCTATCGTTGAGAGGTTCGCTTTACAGGCCTTCTCGAACATGGCATCCGGACAGGTTCGAAGACATATATCTGTTAAAAGAGGTGGCCGCTAACGCGCTATGCAGGNNACTTGGATGAACAAGACGTCACATGCATTGGTCTTGCCGTCTTCCAAGGTCAATGGTGGTTCATGATGATGACTATGTTCCCGTGGACACAAGTTTTGGTAGGAGGGCTCTTGGCCATTTTGAGGCTCGAGCGACATATTGCTTTCGGCAAAACACTTGCTTCGGTTGTGAAGATCGTTAAGAGCCGATTTGAGGAGAACAAACGAGCATCCGCTCCGCGAAGCATCCCACAGAAAAGACTATATACCGACATCATATCTGGTCTGATGGACGCAGATCTCAGCGTTGAGGAAGCAGCTAACAACCTCAATGTCCAGATGTAAGCCCTCCATACATCATTGCGCATCACTACGACGGTCCAGCTAACATCTTGATTAGAANTAGCTAGTGCTGCAGTGACAGCCCCAGCTATTGCTCATATGTGTGCGAAATACATGGAACAGTCGTCGGATGAACAGGATGCTGTCAGATCCGAGCTTAAAATCTACTTCGACAAATGGACGAGGGGTATAGCCCCAACCTTGAATCGGAATGAACATCCACATTCGTCAGCGCTGATAAATGAGTGTTTACGTATCTGTCCTCCCGCGGCCTTCTTCAGGGAAAAGCGCGTGCGTCATACTGGCTATCCAGAATACAAGATTCCAGGTGGCACTTTGATTGGGTAAGTGTCTTGTTCTCCTGTTATACGGCGAATCTCTAATTTGTGACCCAGAGTGTGTCTAGGTGCGGCTATGAGGGATCCAGAGGTATTTGGCGACCAAGCAGATAAGTTTGACCTATCTCGATGGTTCGAATCCGACATGAAAACTCTCCAACGCATGGACGACTGGCTTAGGCTTGTTTTTGGCTCTGGCATGTCTGAATGCCTAGGGAGAAGGACCGCGTTCCCGGAAATGTTACGCGTCCTGTGCACAGTAAGTCATGAGAAACCTGGCCGAAAACCTAGATAGTTTGCTTTGCAACTTCGTTTATGGTCCACTAACACCCTTCGCAGANCGGCTCAGTACAATTACGAGATAATAGATCGGGCAGAATTTGCTCGCTTTTCGAATAAGGGCGTTCAAAGAGTCACAGGTATGCGTGTGTATGTCCGGAGACTTGGAGAGAGCAAAGCCCCAGGTCTCCCAGCAAAGAATTTTGTCGGCCCTGTCCATTGAATATAGAGGTTGTTCTGAAGATAGTCGAGTTGGAATGCTAGAACTAATGACTGAGGGAATGAAATGATACGAGAAACTGTCTCCGAGCTTATCAGTAGTATCCGCTTATGCCAGTTCTCTAGTCCATCTGCAATGGTGTCTGTGTTATTGGTTTCTCGCGGTCGTCCGTGCTAAAGATCCTTAGCCATCGACCGGAAGCAAAGATCGATCCCGATCAGCAAATCGTGTGCTATTTCTTGTTGTTTCTCATCTAAGGAACCACCACACAATTTCGTATGGAAGGAAACAATTTACCAGCCATGGGTTAGGGCAGTTTCGCTTTAAATACCCAGGGGCGACATATATCGATTGAGTGCTAATTTCGTTGTTTTTAAGTATGCCAGAGGAAAGGCAGCACCTGCCACTAAACGGGTGACACATCCGGGGGTTTATAAAAGTCCTCTAGAGTGGAAGTATCATCACGTTTGGTCGGAAGAGAATTGTTTCAGCCACCGGGTTATATATTGGGACCAAGTCACACACTCCACCATCGCAAACAGTGCTTAGCTTTGTTTCACAATGTCGCAGCCCTGAGAATGCGCTCCAGCCTGCTATGATCTTTCTGGTGTATTAGTGAGTATGTGATACAGATTTGGATAGTCTGGAGATGGATTGTACGCGTTTGTTAGACACGTATAATTCTCGTGGCACTTGGGTATGTGCGTTTATGGTCCAGTCAAGTTGGCTGAGCCGACGTCTATTGATGCATGCACGCCGATCCTGGATCACACAGCCGACGAGCGGTGTGACTATCCACAATTTGCGTTGTCACAGTAATGCGGACGGATGCATACTGCGTCGGTCGGACATATCACATCGGCTACACAGCATTCGACCTAGCACCTAAGATAGGGCAGTCCTGCAAGCGCTACTGTGTTCGGACCATGATTCATGTGCACCTGCATTTTCGACTTTCATATACTTCAGCCTCTTTGCAAACACTCGTTTTATGGAACAACACTCCGACAGCCGTGACTCTTGACCGGTAACCTCCTCGATACTTAGACTCGTTTACTCATTCTCACTCGTACACGACCGATGCAGCAATTGGTACATATGATCCAATCAAAGAAGCTTTTCGAATACAAATCGCTCTCGGTTCTCGATGGAGCCGAAGATTCTTGGTCCGTCATAGGGAGGAATGAGGAGTCGGACGTTATTGCTACGAAGAAGAATGCCGTGAATCTCCCCACTCTTACCCATTCACCTAGCTAACATAATGTACAGGTTCGAGAGTGTAGCTGTGGCAAGCTAGTCATCGCTGGGAAGAGATGTACATGTGGAGCCCAGATCCGTGGCCCGGCAAGGTACTTATGTCTGGTTCGAAGGCCCCATGTCTGATTGCTAACGTCGATCGATAGAGAGTCACCACCATCCTGTCGATGGAATATGGAGATACTTCAAGCTAGTGTGCAAAGAGTCCAGAGCTGAATGCCACCTGCGAATCAAGAGTCTCTGCCTTCTGCATCTCATCCGCATGTTAAACCATCCAGGATGCTATCACGCACTTCGACTTACATTGATCATTTAATTACCATCCCTCCACGCATGGGTCGTTGTGTCTCGTAGTGTTCGCTGCTAAGGTCAACATTCTAAACTAGTGCTCGCTGAGTGGTATTGGCCTTCCAAAAGGTCCACGATCCTAGGCATCGTCATTCTGTATTCGCCTGCGGACCACTATTTGTTCATAGCATGAGAGATAATCAAAAATGTCAAATTCTGAAATAAGCTAAACTCTCTGATTGCTGTGATGAGCGACCGAAGCAGATATTGTTCTTTACAAATCGATCCTGTCGTCGACGTTGGATATCCTGTCCAGCCGTTTGTATGTACAATCTATGTGTTTCCATAAATTTGGGTACGCTTTGGAACAGAATGGCTATAAACGTACCGCTTCGGTCCAAAATCGAGGCTCGTAGTCATCGCGAGTCCTCCTGAGGCACGCAGGACTAGTTCCAAACATCTGGGGAGCCGATAGAAGGCCCGAGTTGGATCTATAATCAGGTATGCGTTGTCGCAACACAAGTAGCGGGCAACTTTGTTACCTTGAATGATCGCCCCTCCAAGCGCCACGTTGGTTCGAAGATGTGAGCGATAGATAAGGATGATGGACATAGACGGCAAAGGAAGGCCGAAGTTATGGCGTCTCCGCAAGATCGGCGTGTGAGCATGGTAGAATGTAGAAGACTGACAGTGATGCCTACAGGGGGGGTGGACACGTGCTATTAGAGCGAGGTATCTTGCAAGTCACGAATATCGATACGACCCCAGGCGGCAGTCTCGATGGGAGATGAGCGTCTCGCTGCAGAAACCACAGATCGATCTGGGATGAGATGCAACGCAAGTGAAAAGCGATTATGTTGAGTGTTTGAAGATTCCCAGAGCAAGGCCTGTAGTCCAGCGGCTGCCCAATGTGTAAGGATGTATGCTTTGGCTGCAGGAGCGAATCTCTGTCCACCGGGTCTCGCAGAGCTTATTCATGCGCCAATCTCAGTGCGATCGAAACTACCTCTCGCGACTGTTCTACTCCTGCGTCACGTTGTACAGTTTGTACTCGAAGCGTACATTAGTACGTGCAGATGCGTCCAAATCAAGCGTGCGTTGGTAGAGCCATTAGTGACAAATTAGTGTCGCTTCCCGAAAGCGTCTCGCGTTGCGATCGCCCCCGACCTACACGTCTTGTCCTCGTCTTCGCGTTGGGCTTGGCAAACGCCCTGTGCTCAGTGGTATTGTTAATGTGGTGACCCTGTCAAAAAATTCCTGGAGGAAAACTTCTTGGAAGAACAAAATCAACTCAAATTTGGCCATATCCAGAAGGTTAATGTAAGACAGTAAGCTGGGAGATAATAGCATACTGCGGGGAAATACTACCGAATAGGCTCAAGCAAAAGGGTCTTGCTGTCACAGCGTAGTGCCGGACCCTACCCAATCTTTCCTTCTAACATCTCGCATTTGTGATATATCTCACTTGATCGCTCTCGACCAAAGCTCGAATTGGACGGTCGCCAATGCATTTGCTATGGCAGAGACAGTTCTCCAAGACGTATCTGCTCTCGATCTGATGACTGCGTCCAATCTCGATGGTTAATCACGTGGAACATCCTGATGCACATTTGATGTTGCGTTGACCGTGGTAAGATTACCTCAGCTGGAACGAGAGCCATCAACTCCATCATTGTGAAGCATTGACGTACTCGGTGACATTGATGTATCAGAAGTGACTTCCTTACTTAGTCCTGTGCTATCCAAGACACATTAGCTGAGGTGATAACCCCAGTGTGTTCTTGCTGCATATTGAGGGTTTTTGAGTAGATGACAGTACATAGAGACTCGTGAGTCTCTGGCTGCAGGTCTGGTCAGGCCCCTTGTACTCCAGGAAGCTTGAGAGGATCATGATGGAAGCATCGCAAATACCACGGCTCGGCCTCGCGTGCATCTTGCTCTCCTACGCTACTTTACTTGTAGCTGAGTAATTCTGTACAGAGGTGTCTGTGAAACAGCAAAAGATGACAATACGTATCAGATCTGCGCCTCGGGAAGCTGACATACGATGCTCTCGAACGGCTACGTCTGCATCTCCGGCCTTCTTGTTCCCNCAGGTACTACGCAAGGCTCGAACTCTGTGCAAATCAGTAATCCGACTCCTTCCGAAACGATGATGTCGATGGCTAACGAGAGATCCAAAACACCGTTGTGCACCTCAGATCTTCATGAAGGCATACCCGGTAGTTTATTCAAATCGGCTCTGATAGAGATGCCGACAGCATCACCAACCTGTGAGCCGCTCAACGACACTTATGGGATCAAATCCTGTGTTGTAGGCGGTAAACAGGTCTCGGTGTACGATGCTGGCATCGGATCGACCTTTAGGTGTGACGGGGTTCTATATCCTGAAAATGGAAAGTTTGTGGCGCTCTATACGCCATATATTGCGACTCTGGCCGCCGAGAACAAATCCCAGCCAGCACCAGTGAACTGCGGACGAATGATGAACCTCACCAATCAATTCAGTGGAAAGAGTGCAACTGGAATAGTGATAGACCGTTGTGCAAGTTGCATCGGCAAAGTAGGCCAGCTCGATGACCCGACGACAAATCAAACTTTGGTTAACGGCGTGACTGTAGACCTGAGTCGTCCGCTCTGGAACGAGCTTTTTGACGATGCTCCAGATAATGTTTACGATGTGTGGTACGAGGGGAAGGTATTGCAGGGCATACCATGAGCGATGGGCTACGTACCGCCCTAGACTCCATGATATCAATAGTGCGTTTTGTCGCCACATAGAAGAAAAATACAAACATGTGCATGACTGGCCCTTCAAGCATTTGACTCACAAGCGACTTGATCTCTAACCTTGTAATCATCCTAGCTGAGACGAAATTAGATGAGAGCACATCCCTATACTTAGCGGAAATTTAATCATAGCTCGAGTCCAACAGATCCCTTATTGATCCTTTGCAGACCGCAGGAACTTGACATGGGAGACGAAAAGGTATATCATCACATTTTGAAGCAGAACGCAAACCCGATCGTGCCTACACACTTCCACATCGTCCCACCAACCATCGATCACAGCTAAGTCAAGATAAGATACTAACAACATAAAGTCAAAGGAAGTATTGTACGAATCACGACGAGACTTGGACAGCATCTAGGAAAGGCTGTCAGACTGTTGCGTAAGCACACAGCTAACATATGCGCAATAGCTGATAGAGCATGCGGTGGCTTGAGCTCATTGCGAGGGTCAGTCAAATGCATAGATCATTCATACACATTGACATACCTCTCGTCACCACGGCCTTACGCATCGCTCTAGCCGTCGATATGGTCAAGCTCGATCGTTGACGTCCAAACCACAAACTCATACCCGAGAACGCCTCTGGTCTCCGAGCACCAGCCTCGTTGTATTCGGGTACCTTGAGCTGCCCGGTTGTACTCTGGCCAGTAGCGTTGTTTAACTCCGAAGCCAACACGAACGAGGAAATCGCGTCGTGGTTGTGGACTGAAGCGTCAAACTTCGCAATAACATTCCAGGAGGACTGGAAGGCTTTTCAGGAAACAGTTGGGCCTGTTCCAAACAGTCCATGGCTTGCTTCTAGGACTTGTTCGAAATTACAGCATGTAGAGCAACACGCCTTTTCCTGCCGTTGCTATATGATCAGAGTAATGTGTACATAACGCGAGAATGTATCTCCGCAGCCAACATAAGCAGACAAAGAGGTCTTTCACATGCAAGTTTGGCTTGAACATGGACATCGTTTTGAAAGTGTGGAAGACGACAGGAACACAAACGAATAGAAGAGATGAGAGACGACGCCTTCCTAAACACAGTGGGTGAGGTAGCAAACAGAGCGATAAGCATGCTGAGTGGCTCTACCTGCTTATAGTCTTCCAGACCCTCACGTCTTGGCTATCCCCTCATTCGCATGTGCTATTCTCGAAGATCGTCGTCGATCCGTTCCACCATTTGGTTCTGCCTCTCCAATACGGTCCTGCTGATTCGACCTCCGAACACGCTTTGGATTCGGTTTTCGAGATGTTCTTTCCCTCTTCAAGGAACGCTCGTTGGTACCAGGCTTCGGCTTCGAGCGGGACTGCTCTTTCTCATACAGAATACGCAGCTGAGAGATCTCGTTTGCTTGATCGTCTAACTTGCTCTCTAAGATGCGCTGTTGGTCTCGAATCTGGTACTGTGAACTTCGAATTTGGTATAGGACGTTTTTGATGTTGTCCTGGCCTTCCAGAAGGGTAGTATGGTTTTCGTTCCCTTGGTCTCGCAGAGCGTTGATCTGTTGGTGTAACCATTGCGAAAGCTCTCTGAATTGATCTGTAGCATCTTTGACGTGGGACATGAGATGTTTGTTACTAGTACAGAATCCTCCACTAGCTGATGGAGCGGGTCTTTGTTGCGCATTCGGTAGAGATCGCTCCAACGGGGCTTGCCCTTGGTGAACAACGTGCGCATTCGCGGGGGTCCCATATGACCTCTCCGGCTGCAAGTGCGCAGATTGGCGATTGAGGTGTAAGAATGTTGCTCCAGCGACTTGCGGATTCATCGGCACATAGTGTGGCGAAAACGAAAGAGGTGGCCGCACTTGTGGTTGTCCAAGAGACGTGTGAAAATTCGGAAGGTAGGGCGGATCAGGTGGTATGTGATTCGGTCTAAGATAAAATCGTTCCCAATCACGCATGTTATTTGACAATGGTAACATGTCGTTTTTCATGAGGTTGAGGGCCAGAGTGAAGGCTTTCAAGTCTGATCACGGTCTAGGAGAGGTATGATGGAGGTGTTGACATGACTAATCTCAGCTCCTATTATGTTGGTCTAGCTGATGCAGGTTCGGCTGCTCCACTCGACTTTCGAGAACCACAGGGTTGCGTCAGGTACTAAAAAGCAAGAGTGGGTAACTCCTTCCACTTTAAAGAGGCTAACTTGACGGTAACATGTAATCCTTGGACACCAACATTAATGACCCCACCACCTCATGTGCTACCTGCTGAACGTCATATCGTCTCAGCTAGCGTCTGAAAAAGTGGTCGAAACAGCAGTCATTTGCCCCGCCGTTGCTGATCTCGATACCAGATCTTCAGGACGAGATGATATGGACAGGATTGTAGACATTAGATCCAGGTACAATCCGTGACTACATAATATTCGGCAGTTGATTCCCGAGACTTAGCGATCCATGGTTCGAAATCTTCGCCACGTCAGTCTAGGTAGACTTGATCCGGATACTTCTGCAAGGTTTATTCATAACAAGCCCGATACGCCGAAGGGTTGGGACGATAGTCATGTGGAGCGAATCCGGATCCCGTCTATGCGTCGTAATTTTCTCCGCACTAACATTCAATACACGCTCCACCCGGTAAGCGCCACACGCACGGTCCAGGTCTGTGTCGTAAGATATCGAAAACTAGTAATTTCCAATACGTGCTTACGCCACAGCCATTTCTGCATTGGTTGATGATACTTGCTCCGGCTCTGTATCTCTATACGTTAGGGAAGTGGTGGATGCAAGACCGAACCGGTCTGACTTGATATGGCCGAACCCCTCTCGTGGATTCCTAGAATCCACGAATTGTTCACAGCACCGCGTCCATTTGAAATTGTTTTGCTCTAGCGGAAACAGACCGCGTCTGCTGACGAAGCACAATAGCCCGCATTCGTGCAGATGCCTTGAGATTCCTGCTAGATTCGGGAGTTCCCGATCCCTGCCCGTCTAGAATGGGAGACGATGAAAGTCATTTCGGTGTGTAGACCCTACAGACATCAGGAAACTCAGACTGGATACTAGAGAGATCACCTACCATTGATTGCTAAACGAACGTCGTACGGCGGCCAGGATGGTAATCGGCACGCTGAGCTTGACCATGTTATCAAGAAGTGTCTAGTCTCTGATTCTACTACAGCAACACCAAAGATGGCTTATTTCTCGCCTGATCTGCTCATCCTCGATGCGTTGGAGCACAAACGCAAAGTCCTGCCACTCGTGTTGGCTTCAGCATGTGTAGCTCTAATGAGAGAACATGTCGCTCGACTACGAGGTCGTAATGCAGCCGATTATCCGGCTGTACAAGACATAGATGTTAGCGAGCTAAGGCGTGGTGAATTCTACCGTGCTTTTATACTAACTATGGCAAGTTTGCAGGTGAGTCAAGCATCGATCGACTTTTTATCTGATCATCCCTAAATATTCCGACGATTCGCTGTAGNNCCAATTGTACTGGCCTTCCCCGTAAGGTCTACCGACGTGCTTGACAGCTTGATGGCAGATCTACATCTGTTGAATTTCTCGGGTTGCTTCATTGATGTGCAACGACGTGAGGAGATCGACATTCCGAGTCTCTTGGTGAACGATATTCTGCTGCTCGCCAAAGCCAGGGTCAAGGAAGTCGAGAAGGCCAGTCTTGGAACCGGATGTTGCACTATATTTGAGGATTGTATCGAGACGGGTCTTGTGCGCCTGACCATACCTGTTGTTGGGTCTCTTTGCGCTACAAGTGTGGGCACATACGTGCTGGAATGCAAGAAATAGACTGTAGACAGATAAGGCGACAGCGGTGATCAAGTGATCATCTTATAAACTGTTGAACCTTTACCAGAGGCGCTGTGTGCTGTGCATCATCTCTCGAAGCACTCTGTATGAGGTACTGCACTAGAAATCGAGGGAGAAAGCCCTCACCAGCCAGATGATCTCCTCATGTCCCTCATTGCATGAGATGATGTTGATCAAAGTCACAGAGCAGCCTTCCTCCTCCACCTTGGGAGACACTTCCTAGAGAAATATGCACAAGGAGTCATGTCCATCAGAACTCCTGTCATGACCCTGTAGCAATGCCGTTGTGGTCTCTCCACGTCTTCGTCATGGTTCTACAACCAGGCCCGCAGGTGATATTTGTGTCACTCCATCGTCACAGTTCGTTCAATTTTATTCACCAAACTATCAAAGATCCTTAGTACCGCTTTGGACGGGATCTCGGCGGATGATACATCTAGAGAAAAAATCATTATCTTTGCGGTATGCGAAGCTCAATATGCAAGAAGCTCTCAGTCACTTTCACTTTGGAATCTGTAAGGCTGTTCGTCAAAAGCAAACCTGTTGTTCTACATACGAGGCTATCTAGGTCGGCAGTCAGCCATGTAATTCGACATGCCTTCGATAAAGAAGCATCTACAGGGAATATGGAATCATGCAGCACGCCAGCTGAACTACCACTACCCCTCGAGGTCTTGCTCAACAATATTCGGCAGTCTTCTAGTTGATCATGCCTCTAATGACGATGTCAAAAGATATGATGTCCTTTGGTGAATCTTCCTCTTATCTTGTGATTACTTCTCAAGACATTCCAATCTCATGATCCACTTGTCTGATGCGCAGCAGCAGTGTCATTCTGAATCCCTGTGATCAATCAAGATATAGGACAACGGCTCTAGATGTTTTCGTCATGGTCAAAGTTTCAGGCTGCGTGTTAGCTTTGGGAACTTGAATCATGCTTCAGACTTAGCTCTGTCTTGCTCTCAGTGTAGGAATCCCGTCCAGGCTTGTTCGAAAACTCCTGTGTACTATCTTTGCCCTTTTCAGAGCTAGGATATGGCGAAGCGGGACGTTTCTTCTTGGTACTCCCAGACGCTCGCGTTCGGTGGGTATTGGTTTCTTTGAATGTTACTCCTATGCTGAAAGTGCTCAGCAGGAGGTTGGAAGAAAATGCGGGACAGAAGCTTTATAGTTCTATGTGCTCTCATGATCATGTGGTTGTCTTAGAGGTGGGATGCAATCATTCAAGAAGTTTGGGTAGAGCCGGATGTAAGATGATCCAATAATCACTTTCGAAGCAAACGTTCCATCGATCTTCGTACTGTCGCAGGCCTGACGAAATGGCAGTGATGATCAGCCAACGGTATCTCTTATACGTGACCTATAAGCTGGATCACGAGATATGAGCTTTCATGACGCGGATCAACTTGACTGCGTAAAATCGTCTTCTGTTCTGGAATGTCCAAATTCTTTATTAGTGGTCGGCGCTCCGTGGCAGCTGCGTATCGCAAGATCTTGCTTCGCCTCCATACAAATGTCTGCTGGATCATCTCACTACACGGTCCCAAGGGCGCAGTCTCAACCGAACTCAAAATTCACGGATCTAGACAAAGCGGGATCGAGAATCCCAGTCCACCTGATATTCAATCAAGGTCATGAACAACCCGCTAACATCGACTCGCTTCGTCTAGATTGGGGTCCAGCGGTCTGGAATGCTAGTTCATACGGAAGTGGCAAGGAAACACCTAAGAGATATGGACTGCCTCTTGTTGAACTTTACCAAGAGCCCAAGAGTCCAGCAAAAGCACGAGACAGAAGAGGCATCCAAGATGTTAGATTGATTTCAGTTGAACCATCTGAACTAATCATGTGCGAGAAAATGATACTGGATAGAACTTGGGATTCGAACAAGAATCTTAGTTGTGTGGCGCGGGATTGCATGGCTATGCGGAGCTCACCGGAAAAGTGCGAAAGGACCATCAGACAACGTTCGTTAGAGTTTGATCCAGGATTCCGTACACTGTGGTTATAGAATCAAGATTACTGTTGAAACCAAGTCTCTAGCGCACCCGTCACTTGAGAACAGAGACGCAAGGTAGTCGCCTCGAATCCAGGCCATCAAGAGAAGGACTGCATTAGAGGGCAAGCGCTGCACAACCAATGAGATGATAGGGATTGGAAAGCTGTAGCCACTTTCCTTGGATCATATAATTGTGCCTTAATCGTGGTTATAGCGTTGCAATCGACGCTACGTGTTATACCGGTTCCACCATGCGAGACTTCCTGTCGTTTTGTCATAGTGTCTGTGGGCCTTGGGTTCCAGACTGTTGTGTACACACAAGTGAGGGAATTGCTCCTCGATGGAGACTGCAGCACGGCACCTGAAAAGAAGTGAATCAGCAAATTTAGCAGGTGTTGTACAAAGAATGCTATCATGAGCTTAGAATATACATCGCACGATCTAGTGATAAGAGACATTACAGGTAGGAGTACATAAGACAGTTTTTCTTTGGTCTATGCCCGAACCTCATGTACCCCTTGTCTTATCCTAATTCCATGTCGCGGCGTAAGCTGTCAAGCGCTGACAGTCGCACACGTCACTCGGATAGAAACAAACGTCTACCGCCTTTACCTTCTGGATCTCGGCCACCAGCTGAGACTTTGTTTGAGCCTTCATCTGAGCCCTTGACAGAGCCCTTGACTAAGTCCTTGTATGAGCACTCAAAACCACCACCTCTGAGGTTGCATAAGAAAAGCAGTGTATACGAGAAGCCTGGAGAATTTTCAACATCAGAGAAAAGATGTTTTGTGGGAGTCTTGATCATGACACCTTCAACAAGGGATGGGAAGGTAGTCTTGTCTAGGCCAAACTGCTTAGATAGCCTTCCGCCAGAACTCACATCCGCTATCTACATCGATAGCAGTGATCAGATGACCGGGCAAAGTGTTTTCATCTAAGTACTGCTGTTAGTCATGATATGCCGCTTCACCACATTCAAGATCTATGATCATTTTCATACTGTTTTAGCCTTACATTCTATACAGTGCAGAAAAGCAGAACCTACACATTCGTCATATGATGTCTCTCCTCAATGTAGAATTCTGACACTCTTGACATATCACAGAAGCAGATCAGTAATTTGAGTCATTCTGACCGCTGACGGATCTAAGCCAAACACGCCTCGGATCACGATCCTCAGACTGAGTAGAGTAGTGTAGATTATGTCTTCGACACAGATTGAATACTGAATCCGAATCTTAAGAGCATCTTCAACATATCGTTGCGAGGAAACAGAACTCTAGCATGAACGAGAAATGCCGCTACCCTCGAAGTGGAAGTTTCCCGTTCTGATGAACGATCCAGGGTATGAACGTAATTGGTAGAATACGCACAATCGTGACTATGATCTCGGGGAAGAAGCGAATCCGCCTCACAAAACCATCCCGATAACTGTTGAAGGAGCTGTGCTACCGTGCGACTCATAGCCACACCATCATCAAACTGCCCTGATTTTCATACCACGTCTACCCATCGCTATACACGAGCTTAAATACTCACATAATGATCACGAGACTTACCAGTAACGCTAGTCTTCTCCGAAGCTACAAATATCAAGCCTTATGAGCACTGAAGCTAGACGTACAGCATTGCTCTCAGAATTTCAACACTATGATGCGTATCGAGGAAGAAACAACTTCAAGTTGCGCGTCTGATTATGGTTCAGATACCGACGAAGGAACCTCTGGTGAGACAGCCTACCAAGATTCGGCCCATATACTAGCAGAGAATCTCGGTATGATCGGTGCTATCATTGGCTACATTCAAGATAACTTCTTCGACTATGGAGTTCTTCCAGCTCATGGCATCGCAAAAGATCTCTTCCTGAGATGGACTCGGAAACATCAAAAAGATATCATTCAATTGGGATCCCGCGCAATCACGAATGATAACACGCTAAGGGCACTTTGCGATCCACTACATAGATCTTCCNCCGACAACTTCGCTCATTTCAGGCCAGTGATGCCTGACGAGAAGTCGCCACACAAGCGACTCCTTGTTCTATTTGAGACAGCTGAGGACGCCAGAAAGCGCGCTTTGAAAGCCTACCGCGATCTGGTTGTCGTTTCCAACTATCCACCACACCAGATGCTGAATTTTGGTCTGCATAATTTCCAGCATCCTCATTTGCCTCTCGATGGATTCTTCGTCTCGAAGTTCGAAGATCTTTCGATAGTAGGGCATTACATCTCTAACGCGATGTCTAAGATCGATGAAGAGTCGGCAACCAGATACGAACACATAAGCAGGTCGATTCGTGAAGAAGAATACTCACTAATGAACAAGGAGTTTGAAACAAGAGTCGTCGGACTTCAGTCACTAAGCTTCAAATCAGAGACGAAATCAATGTCCTATCAACTAAACATGGGCCAGTCGAGATTGAACATCGCTAGGCTCAAACACGAGCAGCGTCTGATCCTCCATCAACATGTCTCGCCGGGTTGCGACGATAGTTTCCGAACTGTGGAAAGTATATTCGATTTGGTTTCTGAACTCCCGCGTATGGGTATCTTCTAGAGCCTGCGATGATGAACAAGGGGTTATTGATATGTGTGTCTCGAGTAGCGAGTCTACTTGGAAAGTTAGAGAGGTGTTGGTACGTTGTTCTGATCAACGCGACTTTTGTCCACGGCACATAACCACAGTTCAGGATGCGTATGCTGTATTCGGGTCTGTTCCACTTTGGCCCCAGTAAATCGTGTCAGTGTGGGTTTTACCAGCAGTCCTTCGATATGTATCCACGATATTTGTCATGAATTGTCTTAGTTTTGCAACCACGAATATCATTTCTGGGAAAGACATACCTGTTTGCAAGCATGTTTTCCAGTGCAAAGGGATTCTCGCTCTGTACTCTAGGCTTTCGACAACCTACCTAGCGAGTGATTTTATTACGGATATATTACAAGTCTTCAAGCCAGCCAAGCGAAAGTTACGACTCATCGTGCATCAAGCTAGATGCCAGATCCCCGCGCTCTATAAAACTTCTCATGTGGAGAGGATTGTTCGATCAGCTGTATCGCATCGCTTTGACTAGAAGCTTATCATCTTGGTGGAAGCATACTATTTCGAAGATGCGACTCTTTTTCCAAATCGCTGCGGTGTTCTTCGTGATAGGCAACTGTAGTTCTGCAGAAGCTCAAATTGAAGAGGGCGCGGTCGAAGTTCTTACTCATGGACCCATTCTTTCACCATTAAACAGCCAGACTGTAATGACTCAGACCCGTGAGTATATCTCGAGCAACCGCTGTCCCATTGATCCTGACAGAAATCAGTGAAGGTCTCAACATCGGTCAAAAGATCAAATGCTCTTCCAGAGATATACTCCTCGGATGTTACTAGAAGGTCTTTTGCTAAGCGTGCGTGGAAAATTTTTCCCTTCAAGATGGATCTCGACAAGCGCGTAGCTCGACCTGACCTTGTCGTGGAGAGTACAACCAAGTCTGCCGCCGGAGATTATGTAGAGCGCTAAGCAGCTTGTGCATCTGCGCAAGATCATTGAGTGTTGTGTGGCCAAGCAGCAAGCATAGCATTGAGTCATGTGGGTTGTTAACGCCAATTTCTAGAGAAATGGTCGGGATCGGCTAAAAATAAGAGGTGCTATTTTCTTCGAACAACCACTCCTTATGAGCACACAAAGTATGTCGAACAAACTTGGATTCGCTCCAGACTCTCTGTCAGTTCCACCCGTTTCGAGAGGACTTTGCCCAAGGGTACTTGTGAACAAAAGATTCTGCTATCGACGAGCATAGCCGCGAGACTACTTAAAAGCTAATTTGAGACTGGAACCTCTTAGGTCCCCTGGGCCGTTCTAGTATTGGAAGACAGAGTCTGTTTCATGGAAGAAAACACCAGTGGGCGCAACTAAGCAAGGACAGTCAGCAGATCCTCCAAGGACACTAACAGGGATGACTAAAGTCCATGGTTGGCAAGCAGGCAACAAGGGCGAACTTGTATAGTCGGCGACATGTGTAGAGAGTGTGGCTTTGTTTCGACGCGTCAAGTATTACAGCAAGGATGGTTGGTTTCCACAGGCTATCGAGCGCATTGCTGACAGAAGCCGGATAGACCGAATCTCCTTCAGGGCGTCATCAGTGCCAGCCTCCATGCCGACAATACCAGGTTTGCTGGTCTAGCTGCAGGCTGAGGCCTGTACATATGTGACTTGTCGCTTGGTCTGGTCGAGTTGTTCTCCACATGATTTTTGTTGTGCGGAGGCCCCACTGATCTGTGGTCGGAAGTGGATGAGCGGCCTGGTAAGCATCAGAGGAGTGCGGGCGCTTGCAACCAAATGCATTCCAACTCGTGCCTGGAACATTCCACATTGCATCGTTTGAATGCGCATCTATCGAGGTGAGATACAGAACTGAACAAGAACGGCACGCAAGTATCAAGCTGCAGATGACAAACATTGTTCGCCATGGGCAGTCTACCTTTCCATTCAGCCATCAATCGCAGGTGTTGCGCAAGTCGAATCTGGTGCAGCTTGTTGCGGGGAACTATCAGCTCAGGCTGCAATTGTGTCTGTCTGCATTTGCATTGGGCTAGCGCCTTGCTTCAGGCGGCGCCCGCTTCCCTCAGCACCATCGCACACGTCCGAACAACGACAATTTCGGTATCGTCGTCGCTTTCGACTCACCTGCAACATAGACTCCTCTGGCTGTCGAGAGTATTGAAGAAATCAAGCTTATCTTACATGCACCGAAACTTGCGTACCCGGAAACCTGGAACTTGATCTGACACCCGTCGTGTCGCTGCGACAGACCGCAAGCATCCCATCCTAGAGCCTGGAAGCATTCGGCACCAGCCGACCCAACTAGCAAGATCACCTTAAACATCCTCGCAACTCACCTGTGCGCCCAACGATACGACTGTGGTCTGTATGTGTCATGTCAATCAAGAACTAGAGACAGGGCGGGTCCTTGAGTCTGTATAGAGCATTGCATCGGGAGGCACAGTCATGAACGAGCTCGTCATTACCTCTCGAACTTGACTTACCGATTCGCTTTGCGTCTCGTCAGCGTCGACTTTATTCCTGTTCTCGGCCAAACATCTCCACCCGGTCCAACCTTTTGACGCCTCGTTGTCCGGACATTCTCTAGGCTAGCTTTCCTCCTTGGGGTGATCCGCGTCCCAGCTTTGTTTCATCGACTCACTGGAGGTAGCTACAGTCCACCTACAGCATCGGGTATGCAACAGAGCATTCTCTACCGGAAACAAAAACCTCGCCGGTCCGTCAAGACTATCGTCGACGTTTACCTGCCTTAGAATCCTGCATGTCAAGCGGGTAGTAGGAGCAAGGGCTGCACGACTTCTCACAAGAGGAAGAGGGCGAGTTGCCGTGAGCTATACGGCAGCGGATACCTATGGCTAGCAATTGGTGGCAGGAGTCTTTGAGTCTCTACTGTGTTCATGGTGTTGCGTTGTCGAAACTCTGGCAGACTGCAAGCACATGCTCCAGCAGAATAGACATGACCCTGTAGGTTACCGCAACGAGTGCACTATTGTACAGCTCGTCTGCTCAGCAAAGGCTTTGGCGATATTACAAGGCTACTAATCCTTGCACCATTGGCAGATCAAAAACCACCGATTTGCCATCTGTCCTGACTAATAGGTGGATTTTCGTCAGCGAGATGACCAAAAGTTGTGACACTATCACTAGCAGACTATACATCACCCAGCTGGGAGTATGCATTACGTTGCGGCATGGCCGTGCGACTTGACTTGGTCTATGGAGAACACACGTCGAGCACGTGCGACGAGGACGATAGCGTAAATGGCCATGCATTCATGAGTTCCTTCTCCCAAGACTGGACATCGTCTACTTGATCTCCAATACCAACGCTCGTAGTCTTTGTCACCACTCGTATATTTCAAGCCCCATGCTGTTCACCTTCGTCCGTTGACACTTCCGTTGAGCATCGCCACTTTCAGTCGCTCGCCGCTTTTGATACTGTCAATAATCATCACTCACGCCTTGTCTCGAGGAACAAACACCTCGGGTTCAGTTCCAGCGACTTTAGGAACATGGCTAGAACGGGAACACTAAGTGAGCCAATTTGTTCCCTTCAGAAATGTTATAGTTCTGTCTTTTCTGTCACAGTAAACACATCTCTTGGTTTCCTGAGCAATTGACTCTTCGCATCGTCAAGCCATTGTCAGATATGGACCAATGTTCGATCCTCGAAAGCTACGCTAATGTTTTATTTCCGAAAGACAGACTGGGCGACATGTGTACGAGGGATAAAGATGGAAAAATCGTCAGAAAGAAGGTAAAAGCTCAGAGTCAGCATGGAAGAGGTGGCAATGGTCTTGGTAATCATGACGCTCAACGGCACCGCAAAATCCCACGCGATACAATCAATGGCATCGGAAACCCCTCCATTCGTCGTTTGGCCCGCCGTGGTGGTGTCAAGCGTATATCCAACATCATCTACGAGGAGACCCGTAGTGTTCTCAAAAGTTTCCTCAGAAGTGTGATCCACGACGCCATTGTATACACCGAACATGCCAAACGCACGACCGTCACTGAACTTGACGTCGTCCATGCCCTCAAGCGCCAAGGCCGTGAGTAATCTCTCCGTTTCGCTTCTTCTTACGAGGTCACTGACTTTGGTTCATAGGCACCATCTACGGATACGGCAACTGAGTATTTCCATCATTGCAGGTGATGGGACCACGTCACAAGGTCATATAGCAATGTTGCATCACAATAGAGGGTCTCAAACAAAATTGCTGAATGTGCAACGTGTTGAACTGGTTCGTAGATACAAAATTAGTGCTGACTTGTCACACCGGTATATACGAGAGGCAACATGACCAGAATTGGATAATTGGATCCTTGGAGACTGTCAAATCCTACTCACATAGTCTGCCACGCTTCGCAGGCTTATGCTGAAACTACAGAGGATAGGAACAAGACTTCTCGACATCCATACTGATCTTCTTCACCGACTTTGAACTGTCACGACAGCAGTGAGAGCACCGGACGTGCTCGACTTGGTGTTCGACGAATCATTCCATATCGCCTTATCCATTAATAACAGGCTTCCGTCGGGTGAGTTGGCATCTCGAGACCAGACACCTGTCTATACTTGCATGAGTGTAATCTCTCCATGCGGTCATATGCTGCGATAATGATATGGATTTTTGGTTGATCACACACTACTGGCAAGTTATGGAGGAAAGGGCTAGCATGACGTTCTCTATCAAGGCGTACATGAAGAAGGGAAATGTGCAACGGGTTGCCGTGGCTACAAAAGCAACTACATCATCTATGGCGGCTTCTTGCGCAAGTTATCTGTAGTGTATTGGCGTGAGGATACACTCAGATCTTGAGTTCAGCGGATCTCTCGGGTAATTTTCACACGAACCTGCTTGTTCTTCCTTCTAAGAAACACCTGCACAACACAAAGTGTCTGACTCTGAAATGTGCTACCAACGAAGGATTCCGTTTGGTGACTAGGCTCTGTAGGATAGCTTCAATGCAAAGCGCAATTTCAATCCAGACGAACAACGCTTGCCGCTTTGGCAGTCCAGTGGCTTGCAGCTTGCATAAACAAAAAGTCATCGGTCCCGTCCAATAGAGGCACTATGGGACAGCAATCTCCCCTGTGGGTTCGATTCAGTCCCCGACATCAGACACATGAGAATGCCTACTTTGCACAGGAGCCGTGAATGTGAGACTTACGAAAGGAAGGACGCAGGGAAATGAGAACCATGAGGATCGAATGCGCGGCTGCGAAACCCACACGCTAGCGTTCAGGCTGCCACAGGAGACTTATGGTTTTGATCGAGTCCCTTTTACATTCACTCAAGTTGCACTCTCGACGGCCAATGTAAAACAACTTCTTCGTGGTTCCTATTCAGGGGTGCCCCGCGACTTGATTACGAAACTCCTTCTGGTGCTAGTTCGCCCTCCCTCGTTTCCAGATCACAACATCGATCAAGGCCATACCCTTTACTCGATGACCTGATCGTCATCATCCTGATCGTCGGTGAAGGCATTGAGACTTTTCCGATAGAGTCTCTGACTGGCTGTGGCTTGCGCCTTGTATCCCTGTAGCGAGTTTTCGAAGGACTCGCTATGGCTTCTGCGGAAGTTGTCTCTAGTGCGTTGGCGTGAAATTGGACGGGGGCCTTGCACCTGCCTCTGCTAGTACTTGTACAATCCCGCCTGTTCTTTCTGCTAAGAATCACCTGCAGGAGATCATGGCGTCTAACTATGGGATCTGCGACCAACGAAGGATTTTGCATTGTGAGTGAGGTCCGCGAAACAGGTTTGATGCAAAGTGCACCTTCGATGCATGCTGATGACGCTTGCCGCTCTGGTAGTCAGGAGGCTTGCATAACAAAAGCCACTGATACCATCGAGTGGAGACGTTACGAAACAACATTCTCCCTCGTGTAGTTGATTCAGTCCTCTGCATCAGACACGTGAACAATCCTACACCTGGCGGCGACTGTAATTGTAAATTGAGAGGACGAAGGGACGAAGGGACGAAGGGGCAAAAACTTGCGAGGATAGACACGCGGCTACGAAGGCCACAATATCTAAGCAGGGATGGCGGGATGGATCAAAAGCCAGTTACATATACTCGATGGGTTTTCTTGCCGAAAGCTCTGCTGAAAGTGACAACGGATGGAGAATATCTACTCCGAAGTGGCTGTTCAAAAAAGTCCTCCAGCTCGGTTCTCAAACGCAAATGTCTCAATCAACGTTCCAGCTGTTGTCATCCCCAGCCCCGAAAAATGCGTTGATACTTCTCCGAGAAACCCTTTTACTAGCCGTTGCTTGTTTTTGAATTTCTTGTAGCAATTGTCTTGAGATATCGAGATCATGGGAAAATTCTTCGAAACGGTCGACTAGCTCCTTGAGACGATCGATGCCAGCTCTTGTTGTGGCTTGCACATCACCACACTTCTTAATTGCCACACCGATACAGTTTTCGACGGATTGAGCCCGTCCGTAATCATCTATCGCTCGATGGGCGCTGGTGGCGGTCATGGTGACCTGGGGGATCATGGGATCCAGCCTCGGCTCCTCCCAAAGGCGACTTGAGAGGGCCTGCAGAGTCTCACTTGTGTCNACCCCGTGTTGACCTTGAGATAGATGATGTCCACTGTCGATTTCACGTAACAGNCTGCTGCAAATATTCTGACTTTTTGTTTGCATGCTGTCCATTGCGTCTAGATGATCATGTAGGGCTTGTTCAGGAGACCTGTCTTGGACGACAGGGCTGTTCCGGTCCTCATTAGCTGAGGTCCCCGTAGATACGCCCCCAACAACGATGCATTGATCCGCGGTGATAGAGCGATCTTCCACCATAAGACCAGGGGGCAAGCCAGGCATGGTGCCGACCCGACCCTCGTGGACAGCAGGCTGCAATTCGCGAGCCGATGACTCTTCTTGCCGATCGACCAAAGGCGGAGAGGTCTGCTGCAGCTCGTACAGATGAGACTGTTGGCTTGGCTCAGTTCCCAGGGCTGCGGCTGGTCCATCTGTTCCGCCGGTACGCGGAGAACCTGCGGTTTCAATCATGAAATCGATCTTCTGGGCAGTCGCAGCCGAAGACGTTTCTGGAGGTGTCGTGGCGTCGTCTCCGTTCGTCTCAACTTGACCTTCACGTTCAGAGACACCATTGTTGGTCATGCTGCGCCCTTCACTTGGCTCTTGCTCTCGAGGAGTGGTCAAAGCCATCGTGGTGTTGGTTGTGTGAGTGACAAGGCTTTGATCCAGCGATTCGTTCATTGACTGAGTAGGAATACCAGGAATAGGGGCTATCAGATACCATTTGTACTTTTTGTTCTCCTTCGAAGGTTCTTTTCGGAAGAGCTCTTTATGTTGGCTCAGCGTGGCCCCCATCGAGTTCTTCGCTGTTCTTGGGGCCTGACCACTTTTGCTCTGGGCACCATTGCTCTTATCGCAGATATCTTGCAAAGTGAGACCATCTGGGTGTTCATTCAAAATCTCCTTCGCAATCTGTACCAAGNNGTCTTCCCGCCTTTCATCGGACCCGGTGAAGCGATTGGGATAGTGTTGGAGTTGTTCACTGTCTGCCATGGAGTGTTCGGACTGTTCACTACCGGCGATTGCCTGCTAAGCAAATCACTGAGAGAATCGGGCACTGTGTCCGGATCCGAAGCCAAGGGTCGAGAGTCTCGCGCTTGCTTCTTCCGTGGGTCGCTTTTGACGGGTTCTTTCCCTTTGCTGGATTAGTATACGACGCCCTGAGGGTTCCATCGGTGCAGGGTGAATGCGCACCTCTTTTGTGTCCAGATCGCGTTTGCGTGTCGCGACTTGACGACGCGTTATTGTCGTTTCCACTCATTCTTGTCATCAACAAAGACGAGAAAAACGAGAATCAAATGGGTCTCAATGTTACAATCACGGCTCTGTAGGGTCAATTGTGTTCAAAGACGGACAGCCGAAAACCCTTGAAGATGCGTCGAGCGTCGCGAGACTGGGACGAAAAGGTGGCCCATAGAATATGGGACTCCAGACCACGACCGCTAGCGCTGCAAAGCGCTGCAAAGAGAGAGTTTTAATCGGCAGAATTCGCCGATTGGCCCGATTCGGGCATCGCGCTTGCTGTAGGGATGACCCTGCTTCTGATTTGAGGCTCCGGCACATGGTAATCCTAACTTTCAAGCGCTAATTTCTAGAGTGGACGATGGTTAGTGAAGACGTCCTAGATGGGTCTGAGGTTCAATTGTGTAGTGTCTATAACTATCGTCGCTAGATCGACTATACATTGTATGGAGCAGTCCTAAAGAGATAAAGATTTGCGGAGGGACAATTGAAGGCGAGCTTCGGATGTCGATCTTCTTGCCGAATGTACCAGAATCGCACTACTAGTGTATGAGATGATAATTCTACAATATTCTATAGCTTGCTCAACCGTATGTGTCTATCACAGCAGGTTGCAACGTGATATGCTCTAATGCTAAGGCCCATTTGCGACTTTGTCACTAGCCATTCGGGTTGGGATGACGGCTGTAGGTCACGTGACGATGATTAATCATCTCGGTGTCTTCTTCTTGGCACGTACCTAGCTTGTAGCCGTTGCGTTTTATCAACTGATGGTTTTAAGTTTGTTGCTTAACAGCAATGTACACTACTGTAGCATGTCTTAGCAACAAGAAAAAAAAACTCCCTTTATATATCCATTGATTGATGTATCCTGATCTGTTTATGCATCTATGTACGTGCTATGGTTAGGCTATAAATGGAGTGAAGCGACTGTGCTGACCAAGCTGTATCCAAGTGGAGAACATGGCTGCTGCCGAAGACCGTTAGTTTATGCTTTCACTCGACCTGTTGTGTAAGCTCTATTCTCCATCACTTTTTTGGTCTAAGTGCAACGTCAATAAACAATAGCCAAGTTTTTACTTCCGATCAGCATCAGGTTCTGACGCATCTCCAAATGCACTCTTGACGGATGGCTCTTGCCATGGCTTTGCTGGGACAGGATTGTACATTGTTCGGGCTTAAAGCGCGTATTGTCGCGTTGCGATAGGTCACGAGTTAGGAGGATTCTACAGCCACCATGCAATATAGTTGCGGGAGTAGTGCGTGTATGCCGTTGAGCAATCTAAGTGTCGGCCCCTACGTGTCATGTCTATATTTACGCCCTGCTTTGTCTGTTGGGAGTCTCTTGAGATCATTTCAAATTCATAAGTCTTTGGCCCAAAGGCAGATACCTCGATCATCGCCAAAAGCTTTACTTCACGACTAGGAAATTGCTAATCACTATCATGAATACTACCACCGTGTCGCACGTCTTGAGCTGGTTCCAGCTTTTCGCAAGAGATCGACGTCCGATGTTTAGATCCGTAGCTTTCCGACGGACCGAGTTTTCAAGATGGCTTTTACAACATCGTGCGTTGTCTATGGGCGATACCTTTGTCACTGTCTCCCGAGTTTGCGGACTGATACACGTCAGATGATGCTCCGCTCACCATGATTTGGTGCACCGTCTTCGTCCNNGTCACTCTAACAGTACTCCCAGAAGTAGGGTTTGGTTCAAGGGGAATAGTCTCGGGTGATTTACTTGACAGTATCCATCGCAAACCCAGACTTACCAGGTGAGGTTCCGTTGCTGCAAGCCTCCAGAGGACGAGATATGGAGCCTTTACTCCAAGGGGTGGGATCTTCGCCCGCTTGACAGGCTTAGGCATGATCCGATCTTCCAGAATAGCAGTTGCGACTGCGGCAGGTCTGTTTGCATCATCGATCACTGTTCTGGTATGGCTAGAAAGATATCGAGCAGTTTGAAACTATCTGGCGCGAGGATAATTCAACTTTGAGCCAGCTAGACCAAATCAAGAATCGTGAGCTTCAGGACTCTCGCAGACACACCACTGCTCAATTACTCGATCATCGTTTCGGTCTACTGAACAGTCACTCCAGCAAGCTTGAGCGCATCTGAAGTTGTGGAAGCGATGATATCGGATATCTGGTGGAGGGGCTGCGGCCGCAGGGCATGACACATGTGAGACCTCAGAGATGTATGCTGAACGATTCGAGCGGTGCAGAGAATTTCTGCGGGGCCTGGTACCTGTCGACGGCTCAGGTCGAGAGACACATGCAAACGAAAGGGCAAGGAGCACTCTAACGGGCGTGGAGAAGCCCGTGTAGATAGCATTGGTACACAACACTCTGTCGCTCTTGCCCAGATAGCGATCCAATTGCTCCAGATATCGTGGATGCGCTGCTTCGCGCCATCGATAGTTTGGTGAAGCAGCAAAGCCCTGCCTAAGTAAAGCGGACTTGGCAAAGCTCGACGGGCCGTAGTGTGGACACGCTCGTCGGCTACGCCGCACCAAAGTCCGCTGGCCAGGAAGTCTTGCAAGCACCGAAATGGCAGATCTAGCTTCTCAGTATGTCGTCGCCAGACCATTAAGTCCCTTTGTGATCAAGCTTGTGAAGTACAAACAGAGTGGCTAGAATTGAAACAAGACCGTGAGAGAAAGGCCCGTGCGTGTTCTGCCGGAAGCATGTCTTGGCAGTCGTCTCGAAGCAGGATTCGGATTTGCATGCGGCATAACAAGGAGCTCGAGCTACAGTCCCTGTGCGACCTGCGCAACAATACCGGATGTTAGAAGACAACGACGACTGATAGAGGTCAAGCTGTAGAGACAGTCACCAATAGCGTCTCCATTCATATCGAAGCTCCACGATCGGGTGACGACAGCAACAAGACCAGTAACTGGGCGTGACGTCTGTTGCCTGAACAAGAGCAGCCACAACAAGACCACAAGTAGAAGATTTCCAAGCTGTGACACAAGAGACTGGAGTGTATATGGACCGATATGGTTGTGATGGAAAAGCTGACCTGGGGGCCATTGTTGCCGGCGAAGCCTTTCGATGCTCAGGACAAGACACAATGAACGTCAATATTGGGGAAAGAGCTACGACTCCACGCTGAATCAGTTCCTTCTGCATCTTGTTTCTGTGCCATCGCCCCTCCCTAGCTGCATCTGAACTACACAGGCATCCTCGACTTAGCATGGACGCTCACCGAACCGTTCACCGTCATCCGGCCAGTGAGAGACATGATCGCTGTGATAGCCAGTCGGTTCCGGCTGGGAGCGACTCGCGTCACTTGTCACAGCACTCTCTAGCCATCTGCAAATCATCTATTCAATCATGGAAGGCCTATGTCCTGTCCTTGTCCCGATGGGTGTGAATGCTATGTCCCAGGATTGGGAGAGGCTTTGCCTCTATATGTACAAGCTCAACATCGAATATGGACCACTCGACGTTTGGCTCCGCATCTCACAGGAAGAAGCCGAAGACATCGGCAAAGATACGTCTATGATTCTTTGCCCAGCACCACTCGCCAATGGACGCATTGGCTCCTATATCTCTACTGACATCGTGGAGCATGAATCGCAGATCAACAGTAACGGAGGGGTTCAGATATGGCGCGAGCGAATTGAGGGACTTCCTCATTGAAATAGGTTCTTGTCTTCTTCTTTACATACACATCGTGAGCGCATGGCTCATTAGATGCTCCTATGTAGTCATGGTCTGGACTGTTATGCTCGGAGTCAGTAGGCCGATCAACTACTTCTGGGATCGGTATACAGAACCCACATCTGGCTCTTGTATTGATACGACACTCTTCTTCCTCGTTGCTGGCATTATCAACATGCTTATCGACATCGCTATATTGCTCATCCCAATCTCGTGTTTACTAAAGTTGGAAGTTTCACGGATGGATCGCCTTATGTTGATCTGTATCTTCATGCTTGGAGGCTTGTGAGTCTTCACTGTCTAATTGAGAGCGCGATTAATTTGCTGACTCTATCAAGTATCTGCATCGCTAGCGTGATGCGAATTCACTTTCTTCAAGTTCTCCGTACCAGCACAGATATCACGCACTCGATGGGAAACGTTTTCATATGGAGCTCTGTGGAGCCCGCCATTGGCATAGTCTCATCTTGTTTGATCTGCATTCGCCCAATCGTGCGAAAGATGTTGTCAAAGATGTATGGCCTGACATCGCAACGACAGTCTGGTGAAACCTCGTCTCACAAACAGCGATCTCTCAGTTTCGACGGTCCTCCACTAGATGACGAGATTGGTCTTGTGGTATGTGCGAATTCAGGGGTGAGAAAGGAGTTTGGGACTCCCAGTGAGGTCATCTGTGTCACAAGGGAGGTTGATCTGCGCGGTTGAAGTATCTCTCCTGACCATTAGCTAGCACGTCTCTGAGAACCAACGAGCTCCTAATCATACTACAAATACCTGCACCAATCTTTGGTCCTCCGCGTCGTGAAGCTTATGTGCTTACACAATCATTCATTTCGATCTCTTGGAGACGGATGAACACCTGGTTGTCGTCAGCTCAATCATACCGGGCAGCAACCTATCATGAACATCTTTCACTATTGCCGATCAAGTGATCAAGATTATATCTCGTGCTTGACGTAGTCTCATGTTACAGGGTTCTCGAAATTATGTAAAGTGGCAACCACGTGTATTCAAATTGCGAAGCTAGATCTGGAGATCCTGCGCTGATACTTGTGTGAGCTTCTCAGTTCTGGAAGCCTTCTTGTAGATATATGGGACTGCATATGTGGTTCTCATTGACGAAAGACTAGACAGCCCTCGTGTGATAGCGTGCTACTCGGATTGTAGGCCGAACACATTCTGTTCATTACGCGATGTTGACATTCAAGACGAAATAGTATCTAGCACTGAACCCATGGACATTTACTAAAGAAGTCGATTCCCCTGTATCTGACTCGAGCAATTTTACCCTGGCTTGATTAATCACTGCCCTTGTTGGAGGAGCCCTCACACGCGCGATCGATAATGCCCTGTCCCATGATACTTGCGAGAATGTGTGGATAGATGTATCCCTAGATTAAGACATGTATAGAAGGACATTTTGCTGATTCCGTCACTTGCGGCTAGGTTGTCTGTTGCCCTCTCGCTGTTGCGGAGGTTTGCAATCGCCTAAATAGATCGATCATCAGTATCTGCTGCATCACTAAATATCATACGCCCTGAAAAATACCGCATTTTTCCTCGAATCTATGTTCTNNCTGTATGATTGGTGTCAGAAGAGTCGAAGTTTCTATATCATGTGGAAAAACTTACACAGCAACTACATTAGGNGGACAGCGTTTGTGTGACTCCTGGTACTCGATGCACCAGGCTCGTACAGTACAGCGCACGTGGCCACAGCAGTATTCGACCTTAGTGTAGTCACACATAATGCCCGAGTATGCGGTGGATTCGTGATTGGACTTGGTGTTGCGGGTAGAGATTGATTTGTCTTTGTCTTGGAGGTGGATGAGGTGAAGAACAGGAGAACGAATGGGGAAGGAATGGTTCGAGATACCATCAAGGTCTTAATACTCAGTGAAGATTGGTGGCGAGTAAAGACTTCCCTCGACCTGCTCTCGGTCGGTGAAACACCTCATATCCTACTGATGCATGCAGACGACGCCGAAAAGCAAAGAAGAAGCCAATGAGTGTCCATAGCTCGATGATGCAAGGTATCAATCAGCCTACTGGTTCGTGTTTCCCGCAGCTTGTCCCAATCACACACCTCGGAGTCATTCCTGATGCGACACTTATTGCTAAGACATCTGCATGGATGTCCAAGCAAACGCTAATGCCGATCAAATGATGTGTCCTTGAGCCCTTCACAAGAAGAAGGGGCCGGAGGTATCCGCTGCATATAGCGTGTTTCCACTGGTGAACAGAACGAGGGTTGTGCTGCTTGGGACGCGCTTGCTAGGGGCAGTATGCAGGAAGCCATCAAAATGAACCCGGAAGTAGATTGCATCTATCGAAATCTTGCCTTTTCGGACGCCAGGATTACTAGTTGCACATGTTGGCGTTGTCCAGCGTTTTGGTAGGATGTTCCCCTCGCGATCGCGAAATGAGCGTCGGTGGTGCCGGCAGCAGTACCTCCAAAATCACACGCAACTCGGGAGGACGGTCGTGGGATGAAGCAGGGTCATGGCCCGTCAGTCTGCAGAAACGCCAAAGAGATGTACTCACTTTGTTTTTGTCAGGTGTTGATTGTTCATTCCTACCTAATTACGACAGTTCTCCTCAGTTGTGAAGCTAGACAGTCAATGCGAAGGGCATCGAGCAATCGTAGAATGACTACGTGTCAAGCGTAGGAAACTTCATACAGATGCATAACGAGGGCATCCAAGTGTTTGCCGCTCAGAATCTCACGCTTGAGAAAGTCAGCCATACCTGCATGCCGAGGCTCAAATTAGTCCTGGTGATATCAGCTTTCTTGTCTAATAAGTCGTAATTATCACTTATCTCTGTGGTACTGAGCGCGAACCTCATCTATCGTCCAGCACTGTGGCCCTCATGTGTACGCTTGAAGATGTTTGAAGCGAAGTCGACGGAAACCACCCCATTGTACTTCGTGAACCCGTTCCAAATTCTGGAGGACTTGAAGCTCACATGATTCTGTTTCACCAGCCCCCTCGAAAGAGACAGTGCTCTTCAAAGTGTCCGAGTCCACTCCCTATACTAGTCCTTGTCTGACTACGTACCATGACAAGATGTGATTAAGAGATAGTCGCCCGCGCTGGACTCGCGATTGCGCTGTACTATTGGTCATGAGCCTGCTCTTGTGTGTATAGAGTGGTGTCACTTATGCAGCTTAGAATATCTACCCACGTATCGAACCATCTAGGAAGCAACCATTGCATTCAACGATATCGATGTGAGCAGTAGGATAATCGATCAGCATCCAAGGCTAACCGGCTTTTCAGCTTTTGTTAGAGATGAGTAACAAGCCTTGCTCATTTGAGACTGCTGGGCGAACCTAAACCATGTAGATCAGCTGTGTCACAATGACCATGTGGTGCATCTGTACCGGGGTAGAATTCTTCGACTTCACCCAACTGTACTGTGTCACGATCGAAGCTACGAGCTACGCAGGCGTAGGGGCAAGTCTCGAGACAAACCCGTCGATGACCGGGACTATGTTGAGTCTGGTAATCCGACTTTCTCAAGGTAGCGCAGACCAGCATGAGGGATCTTAGTAAGGACCACTAATCCTCAAAGTGAAAGGTAACCTCGTGCGTTCCCTTTGCTGTTACTCTATGGCCTGATTATCTGATTCACAATCCGGGTCGCCTCCTCCTTCGTTTTCATGTCAGCTTGAAAGTGCGGCAAGAGTTTTTGTGACAGGAGCGAGATGATACATGATTGTGTATGTCTTTGTCGAAGGAGCATCATCGTACAATCGGAGCATTCAAGCTACGTCGGTGTCACAATATGACATACACGAATGAGTAGGAAATCACATAGCTGGTGAACCATCGAACAGCTATGCAGGAGAGTTTCCGGATATGGAGATCAGCCAATCCTAATTGCCCTAAGGATGTCGAGCGAACCAAATCAATAACTTCCTCAGCACGTGGAGTCATCGCCAGTTGTTGCCTGGCTGAAGGAGCTGAGGGGAATCCCAGTTTGCAGCATCTCGATATCAAGGACTTTGATGCCCTTACACGGCTCTTACAGTGTACCCAAGGCTAAGATACCCATGACGCTGAGCTTCTTTGTCCAAGACATTTGTAACGACCGAATCCCTGGGATTGGTAGAAGCAAGATGATCAGATCAAGGGCTGCGCTACAGATACCCGTAATTATCCACATTGACAGGTAGTCCATACATCTTCCATTGCTCGCACCAGTGTATTGGTCCCAGAAGTGGCGCAACGGTCGGCAGGCAACCGTCATTGGCAATCAAACAGATAGGGCGTAGATGAAAGACGCAAGCGCACAGGCGGCCAGGCTCCGGTCGAGCCACGTTCGGCACCTTATTGTGCTGCGTACCGAGCCAAGCGAGAATATGCGCATGTAATTCCAACAAAACGATAGCTTGAGGCCGACCGTTGCGACAACGTAGATCCATGGATAGATAAACAATGCNCTGGAAACATCGCGTCAACCGTCAGTCTCAGGGCTTCAAAGTCGTGTGCGACTTACAATTGACATTTTGCGTAGTGAGGGCGTGTCGGTGGCCCAGACATGCCTCCCTGCTCCGAAATAATTACTGGTGAGCGTACAGGCGGCTGTGCCATACTCCCCAAGNCTTTCACACACAGTTCGTCAGCATGTTGAGCCCTCGCATTTGACTTCCATCGATCATACCAAAGCCATTAAGATGAACCAATCGTCGCCTTGTAGCCCAACACGCTTTCTCTTGTTGACAATGATACGAAAAGCGACCGCTAATGTGGCGATGGTAGCAAGCACTGCTACAACCGAGTCGTCCAGGACCTCCTGATTGGCCAGAAGATCTATACCAGGCGGAGGGGTTCCGTAGAGCTCTGTCACCGATCGAGCCATTGCAGGTCAGTATATTCGCCTCCGACTGAGGTGGTATAGATATTTATTTCGAGGACACAGGCGACTTTTATAGATCGTACACTGTTGTCAAGTGTATGTGGTTGTTCGTCGGTCAGGGCATCACAAAGCGGGTAGAAAACTAAAGAAGATAGTACAGGGAGATATGTGAGGGATTCTGCCGCGTTTGCCCCATCGTGAAGGGGCCTAGCTGGTACAATAGCTAGACTTGACGAGTCCAGAGCGGGTCCCCGGCTCCATGATACCTGGTTATGACAGGGGAGTCAAGGCAGGATCATTTGCTTGTACGTGGGCGATATATGCAGAACATGATGGCGCACGAAAGAAACTTAGGGCCGTATTCAGAATGAATGTATTTAACAATACCCTAGACCCAGGGCTGACCATGAGTGAAAATTACGACTTGAAAAGAATCGTCAAAAGTGGATCGGTATCGGACAGCGATCTACCGCCGGCGTTTGGACAGTTTGCTCTATACATGAAGGAGCGAGACAAGTATATTGCAGAACATACGCCAATTATGGCGCCGCTATGTCCTATGTTGGGCCGCAGGAAGATTGTGATCAGCAGCGAATGTCTCTCGGAATCATCCTTCCGTGCGGCACGTCCAATGGCGCGATTTTGACAATCGAACAGTCTATACACAGAGTCTTGTAATCGTGCTTTGATCAAGAGCTTGGCACATAGACTTAGGCGCTTGGTCTGATTCTGGGAAGCTAAACTCGAAACCCATACATCGAGCCTCTCACTCTCGCCTATATACAGTCATACCAGGATCTGTCAGTTTTGCATACCTGCACCAGACTGGGTCCTTTTCCAGCTTCTCAAAGTTGCACTTATCCAAACCAATCGCGACTTCCATACCCTGTCCCTCCCCTCTGGTGACTTTCGGGTAAATCATACTGAGTCCATGTAAAAGACCNCTCTTGGAGAACCTGACTCGCTCAATTTCCCCGATTGCAGGGCCAAAGTCAAGGTCGTAGATATCCAATTTGTACCACGTGCTTGTGAGGCAATCGCTCCCCATCAAATTTGGGTATGAAGCCGACACAACGTGATCATAGCCAGGAATGGTGTCAAGAAGGGTGACGAGCGACTCGACGTACTCTGGCGTTCTCTCATTTACCGCTTTCCTAATCTCGATGGCAAGAGAGCCGATGCTCGAGGGTTCGCGAAGATCCCTGATCGGGATTGCCGCACGAGCGTAATTCATCGGACAGCCAGGGTAATGCCTTGATAGGGCTGGTGTGGAACGAAGTCTCAGGTCGACGTTGACGATATGATACGAAAGTTTGGTTCCGTCCGAGAACCGTTCGGGACCATTTTGCGCCCGATACACCGCGTACCAAATCAATGCAGTGACGATATCGTTGGTCGACAAGCTGCGGATTTCAGCCCCACCGCGTCCAGTGTGCACCACAATGTAGTCTTCCTTCAGCTGGGCTAAAGCTTCGGGAGACAATAGGTAGACCCGAGATTCATGCGTGTCTTTCATTGCTGTTTCTCCGAAAGTAATGGGTTCGGAACTGATGATGAGTTCAGGATGGTGTTCTGGCCGGCCCATTGTAGCGGTCGGCTTCTGAGAAGCAATGTGGGCGGTCCGGTCGAATGTTTCGATGGGCAGAGAGTCGCACTTGGGAATGCTATCATCTTGCGAGTGACGACAATTCTGAGCCCACACTCGTAACACCTCGGTCAGGCCCTGAGCATCAAAGATCGAGTGATGACATTGGGCGGCCAAAATAAAACCACCATCGATGATGTTCAGCTGTGGGACGAAAACCGGTTGCTGCTCACCCACCATCGGGAAGACTCCGCGGTCACAAAGGTCCGTGGGATTGAGTCTCGACTGGGGGAAATTCTGCTTTCGCAACTCGTCATAAACCAAACCAGTTCCACGAAGATCCTTCCTTATCAAGTCTCCAAAGGTTCCAGGACTGAGAGCAATCTTGCCGGTGGGTTTTTTCCCATCGTCGAAAGGCACAATCTCACATGCGAGGGACGGAATGGCCTGGCGGGTTGGCTCCAGGCTTGTGCGAAGGTGATGAAAAATATGCTCAGGATCAACGCCAGGAAGCGATCTGAAGAAACATAGTGGAGAGTAATAGCCACGCGGATTCGATTGCTCGATTTGAGACAGGGTGAGAGGATTCGCTGATGGACATCTGTGATCAAGATTGTCTTGCACATAGAACGCTGCGGTGCTAGCAGATTCGGCAACCGTATCTTGAGGCAAATTGGCGCCCATTTTCCAGAGTCGAATCACAGTCCGAAGGTACAAAGACGATCTGTATACGGGAACGGCGCCATTGGCCTATATAGCCGGCTCGTGGTTTGAAAGAGAATGGAGTCTGTATTGCGAACGGTCAGTTGAGGATAATCCTCGTACGGGCTCCGAGATATGATTTGCATCGCGCTTAGTAGAATATAGGATAATATTGCCATACAGACGAGCCCCATATGAAGAGTTGACGAAGTGGGTGGAGCTTCGCGATGAGTTTTGCGACAGGTGCACGGGCTAGGGAACCTGTTCACGCTATTGTTTGCGTGCCGCAAACCTATGGCGCGTCGGTAGTGAACCAGATTCCTCATTGGTAGGGGAACTCGGACCTTCGGCACCGACGTTCCGTTGACGCACGGATGCGATGAGCTAATCCCATTCCGGCTGGTCAGCAACGCACACCAGAGCTGTACGTATGGGGGTGAAAATCTGTTAACCATGATCCTTGTCTTCTTCCTGCGTACTTTGCAACGCCGGAGTGAGCACGTCCCGCCTCTAGAGAGACAAGCGAAACGAAACATAAATAACGCTAGGATTTAAAACATCGACTCATTACAATCCGCGCATGCTTTGCCCGATCTGGAATAGAACCATTGTACAGCACTTCCCGTCCCGATTGATAGCGAGTTAAATGTACCTCAGGGTCGTTGCAATTCATCAGACTGACGAGCGAAAGGGTAGCAGGGCATGTTGGTTCAATCATCCGATGCGTGACAGATCTGGCTCCAGAGTGCGGTAGTCGTCTCTCTTAACGGTGTTGAGTCTGTTGCAGAGGGATGAAGAACGACACAGCATGAAGCAACATACAATAGGATGTCTACGATACAAAAGAACACCGCCAAGCGAGATGAAAGAAGGGTTTACCTCGGTAAGCAGCAGATCCATACAAGAGCAATGGGCTTACGATCTATTTCCTAGCTGAATTGCCCGCTATCTATATCTTACCAAGTGATTCCACGTCTGAGAAAAGTGTGATTGAGATCCGGTGTTTCTCCACATTGCGTGTGTACCATCCAACAATCACACTTTGGTGAGCCTAGTCTAGCAGTCTCGATCGCTGATGGAGTTCAAGAGAGGCCCAAATAACCGTATGCCGTGATCTATGGAAGTTACACTCGACCTACGAATATGATGAGGAAGACACAACTATTTTTTATGCTCGTCGGCTCGATCCTGGCTATCATGGTATTGATCAGAAACTCACACTTTCTCGGGCAGCGAGACGTGGAGTCGTCAAACCGCAAGCTGGCTCTACGATACTGTCCGCGCTTGGGACTGTGTTCAAAGACGAGTTCTAAGATACTTTTATCTACTAGGTTCGCATACTGCCAGTACGTTACAGACCGGGACTACTTGTGCAACTCCCTTATGATCTTCGAATCACTCAGTCTTTCTGGAAGTCAGGCGGACCTACTGTTGATGTACTCTCAGCACTGGGACTTAAATTCGAGCTCTGTAGAAGGACATTGGTTGCGGAAAGCAAGAGAAGAGTATGGTGCGAAGCTAGCTCCTATCCAAGTCCAACATTTCGAAGGAGAACACACCTGGGCGGACAGTTTCACCAAGCTTCTCGCCTTCAATCAAACGCAATATGAGAGAGTGATAAGTCTTGACTCGGACGCTAACGTCCNNTTGGGGTATGTTCAGAAGCCCAAGAAGATGTTCTTCCGCTGAGGCTGACGCACCTCCTAGCATATGGAAGAGCTGTTTCTCTTACCTCGTGCCCCTATTGCTATGCCCCGTGCATACTGGCTAGAAGGTGGTCTCTCATCTCAGATCGCAGTGATAGAGCCCTCTGAATACCAGTTTGAACGTATTCTCCAAGCTTTCAGACGTCGACGGGAGTCTGACTTCGACATGGAAATAGTCAATGATCTCTATGCCCGAGACTGCGTCATCATTCCTCATCGAACATACGATTTCCTTACAGGCGAATTTCGCAAGAAGGATCACCATAGCTATCTTGGGTCGACGACGGAGAAATGGGACGCACAAAAGATCTTGGCAGAGGCTAAGTATGTACACTTTTCTGACTGGCCATATCCTAAACCGTGGGTCCCGAGTTCGGAAGTGAAGAGACTAGAACTACAACCGGATTGCGACGGCGCTGGGTCAGGAGAACAAGACTGCTCTGACCGCCGCATCTGGAACGAAATCTACCGGGGATATCGCGAAAGGCGTCAAGTAAGCACATCCTTTGCCATGTTTGGTAGCAGCTGACCATCTGCAAGAGAATATGTCAGGTAGAGACAACATCTTTGTGAAGAGTAAAAGTGCCTGCGAGCCTGGTCATGCCTTGACCCCGATCAGGTGAAGACTTGATTCGGCTGTTTGTGTGTCGATAATACTTGGTTGAGTCCGTGGAGGGCGAATTGTAGAGTCAACCATACAGGTCTTCGATCTTGAACCCACTCTATCGACTACGGTCTAACTCGAGGTTATACTGAAAATTGTCTAGGCAGGATCAATGAGTAGTCGATGTAGATACCCAGAAAAAGGCCTGAGCGATATTATGTTCACTAATAATGCCATCCCACATCAGGCTCATACTTGGATCCGGTATATATATAAAGCTCTTCACATAAATCTTGTCGTTGGCCACTCGAAAGCTGCCTTGACCGTCGTGCTAATCGGATGTTCATCGAGATTTCATCTGGCTATGGTGTCGGTCGTTGTTCCGGTGTCACGGTTCTACGGCACACCGCGCCTTCTGTGGAGCGACACGGATTTGGTACAGTGCTGTAGCGATATACATCACAACTTGTGTATCGAGTCGAGTCACCTGCACAGGAAAGCAAGAACTACGAAGTGAGAGAGTGAGGCAGAAACGCTTCTGGCTACACGTCGCATCTAGGCGTGTATCATGGGTCAAGAAAATGTCGATGTTCCGGACCAATTATCCTACTCTTAACACGTAAGCCCATCCGATCTATTCTGTGCTCTCGCTACGTGAATTTGTAGAGATCAAGACCTTAATAGTGATCCCAGCAGCGCCTCGTTTACCATATGCTCTGAGCTCCTCCCAGCACAAGTCCAGAGTCGCCATATTTTCCTCATGGTTGTCGTCAAACAAAAACATGGGGTTCTTCGAGGATAACGTAGATTCTGACAGGTCCTCAGCCTCGAAACACAGCGTGTACCGATATATGCGCCTTTGCGGCACATGTTCGTGGAAATCGAGCTCTATAGCTACAATCAGCTCGCACAAGTCTCGCAGCTCAGTCCCATCTTGTTTTCTGACCTCGATCTTGAAGATCACTTCGTCTATTCTTGGGTCATCGACTGAGATTGGCCGATGGATCTGTTGTAAGCAATCGACCGTTGCTGCTGCTGGAGCCTAATCGTCTCTGGTAGTTGTATCAAGCTGGTTCGCGTTGTCATAATTTTTCTTCGATGCGTTCTGCGAATTTCCATCTTCCTCCCGCGCCATGATATCGAAAGATGGTCTAGCTGTGTTTCCATCTGAGAGAACTTCGTCTCTGGATTGAGCGATCGGGTCCATAGTACCTTGTACTTGGACGTGGAGAGGTGGGGTTCGACTAGGGTCGGTGGTCCTCTGCTTCGAGCGATCAAGAGTGTACGGTGTCCANCGTGGGAAGCGGTCCTCGACCTGCTCTCTGGATGATTGATGATTTCGTCATCGTGGCAGATGTGCATGTAGTACTGTGGCTCACAATATTGTCGTCAAAAACGATGTTGGAGTACTTCGTTGCCTCTGACTTCATCTGTTACCGCTGTTGACTTTGATCGACGGAATGGCTGCTGCGAGAATTCTGTCGGATATGAAGGTCAACTGGGATCGAGCTAGGTTCTCGCTCAGAAGATATTTGAACTTTTGAGGACTCTCTGCTTGCGATTAGAAGACGTCGCATGAGGCTGTGCGATCCAGGGGTTCATAAGGTTGCGAACTGGTGGGACCATTTTTTTGCAAGGCAGACAATACAGGGTCAAGCGTACGAGAGTGCTCTAGCTATCCAGGGTCCACCTGATAGAACTTGACACACTCTCGCATTACAGGATGATCACATCCCTTGGCTCGACAACGTGAGCTGAGCATGTTGGACTAGGGCCTCAGAGATTGATGCGTTTCCAGAGTGACGTCACTGAACATCTCAAGAACCTCTGCATTTGTGTACAAGGATTCCATTCGGATGCCACGACCGCGTGGGGTCGGCATCCTGTCTTTCACAATCCTAGTACTTTACAACAGAGGTAGTGTCTTCAGCTGATCGAAGAGAATTTCTCAATGCAGTAAAGTGGATCTCCATCGCGACGGTGGTCTGCTCGTCAAACATGCTTAGCGGGTATGACTCGGAGCGCGACATGCAATGCCCAACCAATCTCTCGAGTTTTGATACATGCATGCAGAAAAGCCCTCAATATATACCCTTGGCGCGGAACTCCCCATATATATTAGGCGTGTGATCCGTGCGTCGAATCCCCTGTCGGACCATGAGCGAAGTGTGTCGTGATTCTGGTCGTCTTGAGCAGATGCGACCACAAGAACAGCCGAGATTTTACAGTAAGACTGCAGACAGCGATTCCATAGGTTCTGCGAATCTACGCCGGGTCAATGCTCGAAGAAGCGTTGTTCTAGTCGTCTGCTGGATGTCACTTTCCTAGGCTAGGACCAAAGCGGCAAATTGCATCTTGTGATCAGGAGGATCAACGAGTCTCCGATTGGCTCATCGATCGAGTCAAGGTCGGGCGATGTAGCTTGAACGCCGAGTCGGTGAGAATAGCGATCTCAGCTCAAGTGTCACTCAGTCCGGGAATCTATGCCAGCTAGCAGTCTCCCTTTCAACATACCACCGCTAATAACTATCTATTGTTTAAGATGTCATCATATTCTTACCAAGTGTGTTACATCAGTTCTAAGCACAATATCTGGAGCTGACATGCTTGAAGGAAGCGATACGTTGCTTGAACACGCTGCAGAGTGGATATCAAGAACTAGCGGCACGTAGAGTTGCGCTTCCAACAGGTCAGCGGCAGAAGCAGAACCTCGAATTAGTCAGGAATCTCGCGACGGATAGTCTTCGTTCAGTAAGAACTTCCAGAACCACATGTACACTGGCGCTTACTCGAGTCNAGCTTGAACGTCTACCTGGCCTCAAGATCTTTCACGTAGCCGGTACCAAGAGCAAAGGGTCTACAAGCATGTTCCTTGCTCAGTTGCTCCACAAGCTCTGGAATCCGAGCAGGAAAGATACCAAGATCGGGCTCTACACTTCGCCTCATCTTGTGTTCGTAAGAGAGCGAATCCAGATCAATGGAGAACTCATTTCAGAGGACCTGTTTGCCCACTACTTCTTCGAGCTCTGGAAGGAACCGTGCAAGAAACTCTCATATGCTGGATTCCTCACTCTCTTGGCTTTGCACCTATTCGTGAAGGAGGGAGTCAACGCTGCTGTGATTGAAGCGGTGGTCGGAGGAAGATATGATTCGACCAACATCATCAGTTCTCCCACCGCTGTAGGCATTACACCGATTGGCTTAGATCATATCAAAACCCTCGGACCCACGATCAAGGATATAGCTGGACAGAAAGCCGGTATATTCAAAAGAAACGTTCCTGCCTTCTCCGCACATCAGAAGACAGAAGTGGAAGGCGTTCTGAATGATATCGCAAATCGCGAACAGGTATCTCTGCTGCGTTATGTTGAAATGAACAGTAGCCTCAAGAGTAGCGACGACATGCCTGCGGCACTAAGGGTAAACGCTTCACTAGCATACGCCATGTTCCGAGTGTTAGCTGAGCCTCAGGAGGTCTACCCGGAGGACATGCCAGAGAAAGTGGTCCAGGTGGTTCAGCAGACATCTACGCCTGGCCGGTTTGAGCGAATCTCAAAAGGAAACCAAGTCTTCCTTCTGGACGGAGCTCATACGCCTGAGAGCATTGGAATAGCTTCGGAATGGGCCCTGGAACGGTCAGAGGATCGTGTATCCTGATTGGGGAGCAATCATGCTAAATGTTGGATTAGGTTCTCCGCCAAAGGGTACAAGGCCCTTATATTCAACCAGTCAACACGCGATACCAGTCCACTGCTTGAAGCCATATACTCGAGATTGGGCTCTGTCTTGCAGCTTGTGGTTTCCTGTTCATCCAAAGTTCATAATGAATCGATGGACGAAGTCGGTACGCTCTTTGCTTCTCCATGTTGACTACCGCTAAGTTCATTAGAAGATATTCTGAACAAGAATGAGGACCCGGTCTCGAGGCAATCGGGATTGTTCCAGGAGAACGCGAGATTGATCTGGTGCTCCCTCGGTGGACACGGTGATGTACGGACATGTGACAGCATGGCAGAGGCCATCGATGTAGTGGCCAGCGTGAGCGGAGGCCAGAGGCAGCAAGAGCAGGTGGAAGTCTTCATAACAGGGAGTCTGCACCTGATAGGCGGCGTCAGACATATCTTGACAAGCGTCTCGCAACGATGATGAACTCCATTGCAGTCCTGGATATATGCCGAAGAGTTTTTCAATCAGCTGCTTGACGTTTCCTACGCGTAGATACCATGTGCATGTCAGTGTGCCGCCCTGCGCCGTGAACACGATGATATGAAGATGATCGTTGGTCAGAAGGCGTAAAGCACTGAAAAACCATACTCATTCAGGCGATGTCCGTGGTTGACATGACATTTATAGGGCGAGGAACCAAACAGCAACTCAAGATTGCCGCCTTCATTGCATGTCGCGATGAAGAAACCTGGAGTTGGTCATCGCGGAATCTCGTTGTGCACCGCGATGACCGACCTCTGGCTCGTGCACAGTCACTGGCCTAATATTCGAGTTTGCATATGTCTGCATCCTCTTGTTACTCTCGATGTGGTAAAGCCGGGGAAAAGGGAGAATCTAGAGTACCTCAACAAAGGGAATTGCTACCCCGAGACCCCTGACACTGATCCAAAATGTGACGAGTGTAATCCCTTGCCGGACTGGAGATATCTCTGTATTGTGCAATGCTTCCTTCAAATGGTCTCCCGGTGGTCCTCACGTGATGCAGCCTTTCCTCAGCTAGCGCCCGGATACACCTCGAAATCCATCTTCCATCCTAGTATGATGCGGCCCTTCGTCCTGATAGCTTCTTGTCAGCATGTCAGCATGTCAGCATGTCGGTCACGTCTCTCCCATCCAAAGGCGCCTGCGAAATCGTTCTGCAACACGCGATGAATCTCCTGCCAGATGCCGTGAGTGACATCGAGTCCAGTTCTCAGCGCAGAGTATCATGATTGAATTACTCTATAGACTGGCCGCACGCCCGACGAGATGCGTGTCTTCGTAAAAACCGATCTAGGACAGGCTGAATGCCTGTTAGCGCTGAGAACATTCTTACAGTCTCTGGGAAGAGCGTGTACAATTTTACAACAATCGGACCACGCCCAGGAAACCACTCCTCGCGCACGAAAGAGACGAAAGACACAGCAACGAACATCGTCAAGAATCCTCGAGCTTTACCCTCAAGGCAGTCAGCAAATCATTGCTCCGACCGCTGACACTGGAGTCACGGCTTCCACCGGACAATACACGGCGACCGTACAAAATGATGACGTTGCTCACGATCATATGCACCCGGCGGTATCGAATCAAGGATCCACGACTTCAACCGCGACTCGGTCACTGCCATCCGCCTCGCTTGCACGGTCCGGCCGAGACATCTCATATGACTCGATCATTGAAGAGTTGGACTTGGAAGCAGAACTGAGTTCCGTACCTGCTCATCTATGCGAGATGCAGAGACTTGCGGGCAATCCTGACCTCCAGAAGGAGTGGTGGTCGACCGAGATTTCCTTTGCGAACAGCTTCAAACATGGAACAGCAATATACATCGCATCAGAAATAGATTGTCGAAGAAGTCATCACAAGAGCCAAGACGTCTTACTAACTTATATTCTTGCAGATATTGTATATTGCACAGACACATGTCGCATAAGATGTTATCCCAGCACTTTGGACCACTAGGAAGATATCTTATTGGCGGCAGAATAAGAACAGCCAAGGCATACTATGGCTGTCTGCATCATGAGATCACGGCTGGTCCTCTGCCTGAACATATCCTGTGAGTTTGGGACAATTTGGTTTTCTGACAGTGACAGTGTCAGGCAACAGTAAAGCATTTCCAGGGTCTCTATTGTGGGCGCATTGCCTGACGCCATCGAAATCATCTTGGTTGAATAGAGGATTGTTATGGCGTCAATAAGCGACCGAATTTATCTTTGTTGCAACGACATGATTTTGAGAGCTGATCAACACTGGCACGAACCTTTTACGTTGTTCTGCGTGCTGCTGTCGAGTTTCTCGTACTTGCCCGAATCTAGTCGCTGCCCGTTTCGAGGTGCTTATGGATCAGTATCCACACATCCTCTCTGTGCATCAGAGAGACGTATGATATGGTATTGTAAGGTGTGGCAGCAGAAGTTTCCAATCATAAAAGATTGTTTCTAGGTCATGTATAGCCTTCCGATCCCAATAGTGTTTTGGTCCGAAGGCCATACATGAATGATGCCTGTCATCATCTTTGTCTAACAATCTTTCAGGATTTGTAGCGTATTGTAAATTTGCTGACGCAGCTGTATTCACACAGCTTGTAGCATGCTTACAGAAGCCAGATTTCCAGTGCATATCGCTTCTGATGGTTATTGTTTGGTAGCGCGACGAGTCAGCACGCAATACAGCAGGTCTGTGGCTCGGTACCGCAGGGTGGGGTCGGGGAATTTTATTGATGCGCAGGTTCGGCTGATTCAATCAATATTGAAAACCCATGCTTGTCTTCAAGAGTCATTGCGGAGCAAATCGATAAGCAAAACATGGTGATACCATCCCATCATTTGCGGCCCGCGAGCCGCGAAAGCTCGAGCCCCGGCCAATTTGTCTCCCCACACGTTTTCAACGCTCCCAGTCACGAAGCTTAGAAGCATCCGATGCGCGCCAGGTGCAAGTCTGGTCCATCTTCTGGACTCATAGGACACAGTCGTAAGAGGAGCAGCGCGCGTAAACACGCCTCAGACACTTATCCCAATACTCTACATGGTGTGTTCTTGTCGTTCCCGAACCTAGCAGATATCTTTATGAACACACAAAAACTGCTTGACAGGGATCAAGAGTGCTCTACAGACTATCTCATGTGAGTGCTGTTCCTTTTGTGATTGGGGAGTTGTATGATACATTTTGAAAGCTAGCGTGTTTGATGCGCAGTCGTAAAGCGTGCTGCACACATGCCGGAAGCCATGGTAATCTTTGTCCATGGCATAGTAAATGTGGCACGGCAGATTGGACCTCCACCTCGCTCGTCTCGGGGACGAGACCTTGCTCTAGATCGGCTGAGGTGGCTTGGTTTGTTGATTGATATAGGAAAGACGATCGGCTGCATATATTGTAATCGCATCCGGACCACTCCCAGCCGACTCTATGCTCACCTGTGGCGCTAAATCATCTAGCCGATCGTTCCTGACCAGTCGCAGGAAAGGCGAACCGAACTACTCGTCCCATACATGCATCCACCATCGATAGTGTTTTTGTTTCACGCGTTTCATGGAACATTAATGAGCACCTGACTGTCGGATTCGTATGGTTCATGGCGAACACTCCTTTGTACTTTGTACTTCCGTCCGTTCAAGTGAATGACTCAAACCCCAGGTGACAGTTTAGTATTAGCAGATACCGCGTCTCTGGCAACTCCTCCTCTTTTCCTTCCTTCATCTTTTCGTTCTCCTGTCTTCCTCGTCTCTCCTACTCTTTGGCTCTCTGAACCACACGCTAGCTTTTAGGACGCCTCTATCGACTTGTCTTGTGTCTCTGCTGAAGTCTCAAGCTAAACATACCTTGAAAATGCCTATAGAGCAACATGTTGTCCGAAAACCCTCTATCGGGATGGTTGTTGAAGAGACCCAACCGTCCTTCGAAACAAAGGCAGAACAGAAACATAAGGTACCAGGAAAGTACAGAGGATCTAACAAGGATCAACAAGACATGAAAGCATTGGGCAAGGAGCAGGTCTTGCGCGTAGGGCATATCTGATTTCTACAACCACTGGTCACTGACTTCCATGACAGCNGCAACTTCACCTTCTTAACCATGTTAGGATTCGCCAGTACGGTGATGACTTCATGGGAACTTATGCTGATGTTAGTCGGCATCGAAACCTAAACTCATGGTTACGTTCGGACACTATCCTGCTGACTACTGCATGCAGTATGTNTCACCTACGTTCTCACCGATGGTGGTACGGGCATCCTATTTTGGGGCTTCATTGTTGCGGCTTGCGGCATGTCTCTTGTCTACGCAAGTATAGCAGAGATGGCATCGATCGCTCCGACAGCTGGTGGACAATACCACTGGGTGTCAGAGTTCGCACCCCCGAAACAACAAAAATTCCTGAGTTACATGGTCGGTTGGTTGGTCGCGACGGGCTGGCAAGTCTACCTTGCCGGAGTTTGCTTCATGGTTGGCGGCATTATCCAGGGGCTTATCGCTCTGAACGTTGCAGGATATGTATCGCAAGCCTGGCATTGTACTCTGCTAACCATTGCTGTTGTCGCCTTCTCGATTGTCTTCAACACAGTTCTCGCCCGATATCTACCATCAATCGAGGCTCTGGTACTGATCCTCCATGTGCTGGGTTTCTTCGGCATCATCGTGCCGCTTTGGGTGCTTGCTCCCCGTTCGCATCCACGTGATGTGTTGTTCAAGTTCACAAACAATGGAGGATGGTCGTCGAACGGGGTCTCAGCTATGGTTGGTCTGTACTATCCTCTTTGTGTGCTAGTTGGTTATGACTGTTCCGTACACATGGGTGAGTTCTTTCTCCTTCCCTTCTCGCTCTTGCTTTCGTCCGGGAAGCACCTTCGCGGTGACTGATTCACAATCTAGNCGGAAGAAATCAAAGACTCCTCCCGAGTCTTGCCCAAGGCCATAGTGTGGTCGATCGGTCTTAACGCGGCTCTAGGCTTTCTCATGGCTGTCACCTTGATATTTACCATGGGAGACGCACACGACATCTTAAACACACCAACCGGTCAACCATTTATCCAAGTCTTCTTCAACATCACCCAAAGTTACGCCGCTACGAATGTCATGTGCGTCATCGTGATCGTCATCCTTTGCTCATGTTGTATCAGCGAAGTCGCTACAGCCTCACGTCAAATATGGTCTTTCGCCCGTGACCGTGGAGCTCCATTCTCCGACTGGCTAAGCAAGGTGAGCCTTGTCGAGTTTAGAGTGTTTCAATCGCTGATCTCATCCCGCAGACCAATCNCCCACTGGAATCTGCCCGTTCGCGCTGTCTTGATCTCGTTTGTCATTACCAGTCTTCTTTCTTGCATCAACCTGGGCTCTTCGGTAGCTTTGAGCGCCATCAACTCCCTCGGGNGTGTCTCGCTCCTCATCTCGTACNTTACCACGATCAGCTGTTTGGTCTGGAGACGTCTCCGCGGCCCGCCGCTGCCGCTACACCCTTGGGATCTGGGCAGATTCGGTATATGGGTCAATATCGGGGCACTGCTATTTCTGCTGCCTGCAGCATTTNTTGCATTCTGGCCCTTGGCAACTCCGNTCACTGCTTCCTCGATGAACTGGGCTTCCGTCATGTTTGTAGGAGTTATGGTTGTGGCTCTTGTCTACTACAGCATACGAGGGAAAACCCACTACGTCGGTCCGGTCTCCGACGTTAACCGGGACGAATAGTAGAAAGGAAGGGAGGAGGGTAGAGTAATCCGGCTTCGCTCTACAAATGTTGCTTCCAGAATCATCTCGTGAGATCAGAATCGCAAGATTCCCTATGATGGCTTTTCTTCTTACGTTACTTTCCAAAACGTAAGCTCTAGCAGACCGAACCATTACTTCACGTCAAAGATAGTGTGAGGGAATACCAAAAGATAATAATATGGCGTGGCAACCTAGTTGGTCAAAAGGAGAACTTTGCCGTAAATAACCTACGAGAACTTGTACCTACGTGAGAGCCTGATTCGAGATGAACACGGAAGCTTCCGGAGTCTCAAAATCGCTAGCGTTTGTTTCGATACAATGGATGGACCAAATCAGGTGTGGAGCACAATTTCGGCTCAAGCACTAGGTCCCTTCCATAGTATCAGCAGATTTGCAACAGGTATTGAGCTGCAAGACCTTGGAGGACGAGTCATTAATTAACTGACGGGCATATAAGATTGTGTGGTCATCCTACTGAGCTCAAGAATCAGAGAATCTCGTTTCCGTCTGGCAGCTGTTGAGTGTATACCAGTTCCTGCCTATCCCTCCTTCTTTTCCCTCCTTACATTGCCTTTACATTTGCCGTCAATCTCCATTTCAAGATGGCGACACGACCCACCGAGGAGATCACTAAACTGTACGACGAATTGGGAAAAAGATATGAGAACGCATACGGAGAGAACCCTTTCAAGCAGTCGATCACAAGATCCGCGATTGACCACCTTCGGAGACTGAAGCCCGACAAGTCTTGCATACGTATCTTAGACGTGGGCTGCGGTACCGGCAGTCCAGTCAGTACGCTATTAGCTGATGCCGGCTTCGAAGTTCATGGTTTCGACATATCTTTGGAGATGGTCGATTTGGCAAAAGCCAACGTGCCATCGGGAACTTTTGCGCAGAACAACATGGTGGACTTCGAGCCTGAGCACAGTTATGATGCGATTTTTATCATATTTTCCCAACTGGAACTCCGCTATGCTCACTTCCATGCTGCAGCGTGGAAACTGGTAAAGGCTCTTGAACCCGACGGGCTGTTGGTCATTGGGCAGACCCCAGCCGACAGATATGTGAAGGATGGATGCCAATCCGGTGGTGGCAAAGCGTACTATGAAGACTGCAAGATCCCGTTCTTTGGAAAGCCACATCCGACACTAGCCATGGGAGCGAAAGGTCAGCGCGACTTCCTGACAAGCATGGGTCTCGTGGTTCTGGATGAGGTCCGTGACTTCTTCCAGCCCGATGATCCAGCTTGTGACAAGGAAGACCAGCAGTACATAATTGCGCAACGTCCAGAGGGAGTCACGCCTCCCGAACCCGAGCCGAAGCCAGAGTAACGTCAAGGCCCAGAGTGCCATAGAGAAGGATAGAAGGGCTCGGTCCAGATTGTACCTGTAATGTTCAAGTCTACCACTTCCCGAGCCTGTCTTGTGTTGATGTTGTTTCTAAGCATTTTGAATCATCGACACGCTCCCGGAGATTCTCAAACTTGAGAGTCAGGGATATTTGCACTGGAACAATAAGTTCTTCGATAAGTTGGTAGAATTGCCCAACTTGTCTCTAGCAAACAGTAATTTTCGAAGCAGTGGACTGTCTGTTTGAGACTCATAGCCGGCTTCAATGAGTATGTTTCTGCTTTTCTCAAGAGTTCAAAGATGTTCGTGGTGGCTCAATGTCCACGTTTTCGGAGTGGCGATTACTCAGGATTTAAAGCGCAAACACCGGAGTAAGAGTTCACGCTAGCCTAGATCCAATGCCAAGCAGATTGACGTGATCCGTATGACTCTGCGAGGCTCAGATCGATAGGATCGCAGACATTGTCAGGTGACAGGTGGTAGGTGGTAGATGGTAGAAAGGAGTTTCGTTGCGCGAGCTCACCTCGCGACACATCCCAGCCATACTCTTCTTCTAGGGATTCCATTCTTGCCTACCTTTCGACTACTTGACCATCCCCACCGCTTCTTAGGTGCGAATCGTTTCGGCGAAGTCCTTCTTACGACCAGTTCGATCTCTGCCGAGCAATGTAGCATGCTTCCATTAGTGATATGTTAACGGACCATCTCGTTTCGTCTTGAAGTTGCAGAGATGAGTATCGGTCGTCCTTTGAGCCGCCATCTTCTTGTTCTCGATGTATGGCCATTGTCTTGACTTCAAGACTTCTTGTTCAGGGCCTTAGGCGTGGCCTTTGTTCTGTGTGCAGACATTCAGATGTTGGATGTTTGAACCAGTCGTACGGCTTTTCCTTTGCCCCCGGATGAGCAAGTCCTAGTTTTGCGTTGCTTGCTTCGGAAGGTTGCAGGCGGAACACCTTCCTTCTGCAACCAGGCGATTTCATTGTCCTTGCGCGCTTCTTCGATCCTTATCTTCTCCATACCTTCATCAACATACACCCAACCCTTGGGCATTGGTGAAACCCTGCGCTTCTTAGAAAGCTCCTTAACCACTTTAGCTGCAAGAGCAGTGCTTGCTGGTCCGCCAACCTTGCGCTTTTGCCATGAGCTACTCGTCCCTTTTCTGTCTTGTCTACCGGCTTCTTAGTATGTCTAAGTCTCGGGCCTAGGATCCCTCGGCAGTTGCTTGCACCGCAACGGCACTCCTGGACATTCTTAGTGGAGTAAGGACTATACAGCCGTCAGGTCGTTGCACAATGATCATAGATGAACTTTGAACTCACTTGAAGTTGTAGTCGTAAGTCAACTCCTGGCCGGCCGAGATGCCATAGTCACCTGCAAACAAAGCCATTCGGGGCTGGCCTTTAACGAATTTTTGAGCATCTTGCAGTTGGGGTCGCAGGAATGGTTAACAAAACGAGCGATAGAGCCTTTGGTGGCATCGAGGATCATGCCTCGGTCAAAGTCCATTTGATAGAAGTCCTGGAGGAATGTGAGCCGACGACCAAAGCTGATTACGATATCGAGTCTCACGGCCTTATCCTTGTAATCCTCTTTCATTCTTCTACCAGCCTCACTGGGTGTGATAATCTCTCCAGTGTGTTCGACGATGATCTGGTGCGGCTCGAATTGGGTGCAAGCGCGAACACCAAAGCCTCGGTCTCGAGTCTTGAACAGCTCGACGCCGATACTGGACGGATCACATTTCGACCTCTGATCGGTGCTCTTTGTGCGTGCCAAACGAATCGCAAGCCCTGAGAAGTCGCGATTCGTACATAAGTCTCCAAGGCCGCAGTTATCTAGATCGCATTCATAATCCATGACGCGATTCAGACAATGTTCACCGCACCCGGGCTCTGGAGATCCGGGCACAGGTACAGTACAGATGCATAGCGACGTCTCGATCTTTGGCTTTTTCCAGTATCTTTTGGCGTCGCCGACCAGGCGATTCTTGTAGATCCTGGTCCAAGCCTTTAGCTTTGCCTCGCGGATTTTGTGGTGCAGAGTTGCAGAGGCATTGCTAGAAGTGTTCAGAAGTCTCTTCGGCTTGGGGCAGGAGGCTGTGGGTGAAGTGAATGTATTGCGGCGTTTTGTAAAGGAGCTGGACCTTTTAGTATGCGTCGACTGGACATCGACCGTGTCGGCAGTAGGTTGTACCGCTTCATTCAGCTTTCCAGAGCGCCCGATAGCCAGTAGCCGGCCGCTCCGTCTGCGGTCTGTTTTCTCGGCTTCACTCGCTTTCCGCTTTTCCTCAGTACATCTGCGGATGTCAGGGCTTGACATGTGATTCGACCGATCAGAGGAGGCTCTGCGCCGATACCACTTTTCGCGCGGTATGTCAGGAACATTCCTAGCAGGTATGCTGTCCACTCCGTCATGCATGTTCAGGGTCTTGGCACTATGGTTAGACGGCTGATGGCCTGCGGCGCTGGATGGCGGTTGTGAAGCGTGGTGAACATTGCTATTTCCAGACAGATCCCGCGTGAGCGTCTCGCGGACCGCTGCCACATCGTGATGGGTACGGCGTCTGAGATTGTAGGTCACAGGAGCTAGCTTGCGCCGTGGTAGTAGGCGCGCCATGTTTACTGCTTCTGGCGTTCCTATCTCTCTCTTGGCAATTGACGAATCGAGGAGATCATCAGTGCAGATGCTTCAACACATTCGGTCAATGCAAGAGGTTCCTGAGCGCGCTGGTCATGCGTCTCGTTGATGATCGAAGTGATTGGAATCTAGCTCGTTGATCTGTATATAGATCGGTCAGATAGCAATAGTCGGTCGGGTGGTTTGCCCACTCGAGCTAAGTCTGAACAACCAGGATGATGGGAGTATGATCGACTAAGTCGTGGTCGTCGATTTTGAATAAGCGTACTGGTTGTAGGGCGGCGCACGAACGCCGCAAATCAGATAGAGTCCAGGCCGGCTGCGATGTTGCGCTAGCCGGATATGGTATCGACCGCATTCTTGGCACGAATTTGTCGCATTCGGCGTTGCTCATCTGTTTGCTCAACAGACGAAGGTTTATAGCTTCTGCCGTACCTGTATCTTCGCTGCTCACGTCCGAAGAGATCAACGAACAGACTGGAACTGCAAACACACTCTCCGGTATCTGCCAGGCCTAGAGGTCCAGCCAGCTGCCGACTTTCTAGATTCTCGGTCTACAGGAAGTATATTGGAGACATCTAGCCTCTTCGGACTCGTTTCAGTGGCACGCCCGCACGCTTGCGGGCTGATCAGGCCAGCCTCGAAGAGAGCACATATTGTGCATAGGAGCATACCGTACGCCAGCAATCCAAAGGACTAGGTTTCTCTAGCAATCGTACAAGCGCTGGAGTTGTCAGGGCGACCCTAGCACGCCGTAGCAACAAGTCTGGAAAACTCTTTGGTCAGATGAATGGCAAGGGTTGTAGCTCTCCAAACTATACGCTCTCGTTTCATCTGCCTATAACTCATCACCTATCCGTAAATAGCACGTCAGAAATCATTGCACTACATACAGCTACTGTCTGAGCCTTTTGCTATTCGACTTCTGTAGCTTAGCCAACTGATCTTTCGATTTGCTCCTTTCCCAGTCGGTTTAATGACCCTTGCTCTACTTGTTTCCGCCTGCTCGGGTGACGTGACTTGTAGTGGTGCCATCTTCATGCGCATGGCCCGACTCCAAACGAGTGCCGCCCTCGGTGTGGACAGATACCGTGACGACCTCTTTCTTGTCGTTCGGATCCTTGGTGGACATGTGCAGCTTCGCGCCCCATACAGATACCAACTTGAAGTAGCGGTCATAGATAATCAGCACTTACTGAATTTGAATGACAGCAGCTTTGTCGCCATACTGCGAAGTATTAGTATGCCCCGAAACTGCACAGCATAGGATTTAAGCAATGCCCACATACTTTTCTTTCAGCCTCGGCCTCCAGCTTTTCAATGGCCTTGATTACATTGGCGCCGTTCTTGCCTGGGTTCTGAGTGATGATGTCGTTCTTGGTCGCTCCCGCCCATCTCAACGCCCTCGTTCCACCAGTGCTGAAGACCCGCGTTCCTGCGGAAGACATGTCTAGTCCGTGGATGAGAGATGAGAGAGCTTGATTGTGGAATAAAGGGCAGTAAACATCTTGCTGGTTATGCAGAGGGGCTGCGCTTTCATATCAGGCTTCTGTGACCTTTGTGCAACTCTGAGAATTTAGCGGCATGGCCAGGCGCTAAACCATCTAATCAGGCTGGAGGAGAGGTCGAATACGCGGGGTCGTAACGCAGTGCTGGCGTTTTACTACGCGCCGGCTCCTCTCTAGCGGCGCCGCTATCACCGAATCATGTCTGGGATGACTAGTGATGTTCATCTCAATTCCTCTTTGCAATCGGTTCTGAAATTAGCGATTCGTAGGGAATGTGGTTGGGAGGATGCAAGGTCTGAACAGTTATCCAGGGTTGGAAGTAGTAGCCTCGTCCGAACATTATAATCTGAATGGTGTACGCTGACAAGACTGATGCCCATTGTCGTCATTGTAAGGTGATGTTTGTTTCAGTCATCCCTCACTATCTCGCCAGATTCGATCAAGTCCGCTACCATCCATTCGTCGAAGAATATGTCCTGCCAACCACTACGATCTTCTGGTTTCCAATGAAGCATTTTTCTCATGAACGTTAGGAACTTCTTCCTGTCTACACCTGAAAGACGTTGTTCGCAGCTGTCGAGACTTATCCCTGGTATCGCGACTTCATGAATCCATTTCCCNTAGGTGAAGAGGTTAGGAAGCGCTTGGATCGCACAATAGAGACCCGTGTGTGACTTACCATCCTGGTCCCAGTATTCGGCGGACTTCTTGGAACCCGCAAGAAAGTCGGGAGGTGGATTACCTAGGATTGCCACCATCTGAGCAAGATGGTGGCTTTCAGAGTATTGACCATCACCACCCTTGGCACTGAAAAGCTTTTTNGGTTGAAAGAGATCCCAGAGCNNTAGTCAAGCAATCAGTTGTCGCGTCACAGAACTCCGAATGACCGCTCCGATGCAGGACCTCCGAGACAATGCACTTACAGTCATTGCGAAGCTCCAAATGTCCACGGCATAACTCCATTCCATATCTAAGATGACTTCGGGCGCACGATACACGTTTGGCATGATGAGACCACGCTGCGTAAAGGTTCCGAATCGAGCTTCGCTGAAGTCGGACAAGGACGGTAGTCCTTTGGTCAACGGCATCGGCTGAGAAACATAGATGATACGATTCGAGAGTTCCTTCCTTGGCGCAGGGTTTGTGGTTGCCATTTCCGCAAACTCGTCCAGCACTGAATTGTCTTGGATGCCTATAAGCACATTGTTGGGTTGGAAATCTGAAGCNTCTGTAAGCCGACGCTTTGCAACTCAGCACCTCGACGCTCTACCTGTATGGATCACCTTGGCTTCCCTGTGCAAGAAATCGAATCCTTCCAATATGGGACGAAAGGTCTGCCGTATCAAGTCCTCGTCGAACACTCTGTCAGCTGTGAAACCTCTCAATTCATCGAAGCTGATCCCAAGTGGTTCGTGAACAAGGCAAATATGTCTGCCATGAGGACCTTGGATTTCGAAAGAGTCAAGAAGTCTCCTGATGCGGTGACGACCATTGTGGTCGGAAGATAGTGCTTGGATATGCTCGTAGACCGGAAGCTCACGATGTTCTTTCGAGCTGTTAACATAAACCTTCAAAGCGACATATTTATTGGTTTCAAGAAGATCGCGGCAAAGCCACACAGTTGACGCCGATCCATATCCCAGTTTACTGATGACTCGATACCGATCGTTGAAAGCTTGATCGATTCTGACAGGAAAGAACCTTTCTGCCTTGTAGTCACGAAGAGTTTCTTCTTCGACAAGAACTGAGGGATCTAGAAGGTTAGTCGTCATGACAGAGACTGCCCGCCTATGGCGCACGACGTTTCGCAAGCACAGGTTATGGATCTGATACGGTGCAAAGATGCGATACATCTTTGGGTGTCCGTCGCTCGACGCGAGTTTCCCGGAAGGGGCAGCGGGTTTGCGCGTGGGCGTCTCGCTCAGGTTGTTTGTAGGCTGATGGACGCCAAGATGCGTTCTGTGCACGTAGCACACGGACATGCGTAGTAAGTTTGAACACGACCGTGTTGCCATCATTCCATAAGAGGCTGTTATACTCCCCGGAGTGCATGAGAGGAGCAAGCGACGTAGCAAGAACTGATTTCTGATGCAGGTTAAATGACTCGACATTCGATGACGGGATCACACCTGCCGCACGCTGTTCGAGACACCTCTTGCCTTTTCCCCTGGTGGAAATCTTCTCGTCTAGACGAAGCTATTCATCGCAGGCTGCAGGTTTGCACTCTTGTAGACGAAGCGACACCTGAAGTAACTCATCCTACTCCCTCCACGCGATACGAGTATCGTAGACATCTGTGTTCTTGCAATGGCAATGGCTGCACTACTCAGACTGTGATTAACAAGAGAACTGTGTGCCTTGCTATCCATCATTTGATCGGGACACGCGATAGGCATGACCTCTTTAACTTGGCCAGTACAAAGGGCTTGTTAATGTCGAACCTCGAGTACTGGAAAACCCGCGGACTCGTAAACCGGAGGTATCAACACATTCAACAAAATGGCATTCACTCTTACATATGGACTTTGTCACGGTTTAACACCATGACTATGCTGCGACCCTGTCCTAGGTCGGCCGGCCGTCACGTAACGACCGCTAAGGCTAGCTAGGAGTCTTCCTAGCTAGCTTCCTACTACCTCTTTATCTCCTTATCTACGTCTTGTTATATAGCTTAGACCCGTATCTACGTCTTACTTATTATATCCGACTCTACCCCTTAACATTACGTAGACCTTATACACTTACGTAGCGCGCCTATCGCGCTACCCTCTTCGTTATATCTTTACGCCCTACGCCCCCGATTCTCCTAGATAGTCTCGAAATCTTTGTCTAACATGTCTACGACTACTTAGAGGCCTAGTATAAGTTCTATAACGATATATACTAGTTCGCCGACGCTTAAGAATCCGAAAACATTACCGTCTACTAGGAAAACGCTACTCTAACCTACGAACTTAAATAAACCCGCTATAAACTCGACCGCACCCGTCGTAAGAAAGAAGCTATTTAAGCTATATAATCCTACTAGTCTACCGAACTTAACAAGGTTCGCGAGAAACTAGAAATCGCCTCCGCCGATAAAGTCCGTACTATTACCTAAATAGAAAACGGCTCTTATAAATAAAACCTAGGCCCGTTAAGCCGAAGCTAAAGCATGCCGTGCCGAAGCTAAAGCTATTAAAGCTACTCTACCTACGGTTAATACCCCTATTACCTTAGATCCTACGCCTACCGACGTTAAGGATAAAAGAGTACTTTACGGTCGAACGCCTACGCTTACTTCTCCCGCTCCCGAGTCTTTAATTAGCCGTTCTAAAAGATACCTAACCCTAACAAGTTTTAGGAGATCGCTCCCGATTCGACGTCTTTACCTCTAAGATTAGAGAAAAATAAATGTTAACTACGACCGTTTTCCTACCTCTTAGTCCCGCCTTACCTACCTATCTAGCCGTCTTAAAGGCCGCGCTTACCTATATATCTAACCTTACATC